AATTCTGATATGGCATGCGAAGAAGAAGAAGAAGAAGAAGAAAGCGTATTTACTGGCAAAATCACGTTAGCTCAGTCTCAATTTGGATGGATCCAAAATGTATTAATGTTAGTTTTTTGGAAGCATAATAAATGGGTAAAAGAAATTTGTGAAAAACGAATCACGGAAAAAAGATTAAGTAATAACTCTTAGGAAAGTGTTTTAGATTTTCCGGTTAGTTAAATTGTTGTAGCGCTCACTAAGGCACCAAGCAACCCATCGCAAACACTAACCGCGAAAATATTCCATTCTGCGTGTTCAGCGCGATTCAGCGTGGGTCGATGTGTTATGTTGCCGGCCGGTTTGGCCAAGTGCGCGCATACCTTTTATTGCAAGTGTATTGGCTGTATAACAATGCACCGAAGTTAAATGGCATAGTAACCAATGTTACTCCGAAAAATAATGAGCGTTGAAATAGTCGTACTGACATGTTCCAGAATCCGAGACCAATTTTTCATAAATGTACCGGGTGGTCCAATAAGCCGATCTTTCGGCTATATATCAGAAACTATTCATGTTATAACTTTAGGAGAAAAAATTCCTTAGTAAAAGTGGCCAAGAGCAATCGCTGGAAATAACTTTCAAGATTCTGGATTAACCGCTAGGGGCGTAACCTGCGAAGAAAATTTTGAAAACCAGTTTTTTGGGAAATATGTCCAATTATACCAAGTGTTAAATAAGTAAACTAGAAAGAGGCATAAATTCTGCACAAAGTTGTTCAAGAACTTTTTTTATTTTTTCAAATAAAGGGTGGGGGAGAGTGGGAAAGTATTTGTGGATAAATACCTATAACTTTGGTTTGTATCAACCGATTTTAACAAAATTAGTATCATTAAAAAGAGTATGGATGAATTAATTTACATCTACTATAAAATAATTGCATTTATTTTTAATTGTCGTAGGTAGAGGGTACTTTTGAATAGAAAAAATTAAAATTTGTTTTTCTTCGAAATTTTTAATAGAAATACCTATTTATTGTAAATTATAATGGAACTGGATTAAATTCGTAACAAAATGGCGCAAACCGCATGTTAATAGCTTTTATCGAACTCGAGATATGAATAAAAACGCATAAACATAGGTAAGTATAGTATTGACACACCCTGTATTATAAAATAAATTAAAAAATAAGTCAGTAGGTACTTTCAAAATTTTTTATAGCAGAAAACTCTTAATGTTGATACCTATTTTGACCATTGTTATTTCATATGATTAAAAATTGTTTTTTCGAAACTAAGTAGGCTACGACAATGAATTTGACAGGGAGTTCATATTGTTTATTTATTGACAGCAGTCAAAATATTGTTAAGAAGTGTTATATGTATTATAATTCGAATTGAAAATTGCATTTTTTTCAATAGATATTAATATTGGTAATATTAGTAATTAATTATCAGTACTAATAATTCGTGATGAGTATATCAAATTGTATGATATGATTGGAGTTTATTTCGAATATCACCAAAATGGCGCTATTGCCTCACGTATATATTCTGTAAGATATCCTGGCCGGAGATATTGTGGCAAAGAAGTAGATATTTCGGACTACTTATATGTGGATTCTGTTGAATTAAAGCAAGAACATTGATTGAATTATCTTCGGTCATAACTCTACTACGTCGTTTAAAAGAGGACGAGAAAAACTACCAGTTTCTCTTAATCTTTTTGCCTTTCTTTCAAATACTTCTTTGCCATAATGTCTCCTGTCACGATATCTTACAAAATATATACGTGAGGCAATAGCGGCATTTTGGTGACATTCGAAATAAACTCCAATCATATCATACAATTTGATATACTCATTACGAATTATTTGTACTGATAATTAATTACTTATATTACCAATATTAATATCTATTGAAAAAAGTGCAATCTTTAATTCGAATTATAATATAGCACTTCTTAACAAAGTTTTGACTGCTGTCAATAAATAAACAATATGAACTCCCCGTCAAATTCATTGTCGTAGCCTACTTAGTTTCGACAAAACTATTTTTACAAAATAGATATCAACATGAAGATTCTTCTGCTATAAAAAAATTTGAAAATACCTACTGACCTATTTTTTAATGTAATTTATAATACAGGGTGTGACAATACTATACTTACTTACTTATGTTTATGAGTTTTTATTCATATCTCGAGTTCAACAAAAGCTATTAACATGCGGTTTGCGCCATTTTGTTACGGATTTATTCCAGTTCCATTATAATTTACAATAAATAGATGTTTCCATTAAAAATTTTGAAGAAAAACAAATTTTAATTTTTTCTATTTGAAAGTCCCCTCCACCTACGACAATTAAAACTAAATGCAAGTATTTTATAGTAGATGTGAATTAATTCATCCACACTCTTTTTAATGACACTAATTTCATTAAAATCAGTTGGACCAAACCAAAGTTATAGGTATTTATCCACAAATACTTTCCCACTCTCCCCCACCCTTTATTTGAAAAAATTTAAAAAAAGTACTTGAACAACTTTGTGCAGAATTTATGCCCTTTTCTAGTTTACTTATTTAACACTTGGTATAATTGGACATATTTCCCAAAAAACTGGTTTTCAAAATTTTCTTCGCAGTTTACGCCCCCTAGCGGTTAATCCAGGATCTTGAAAGTTATTTCCAGCGATTTCTCTTGGCCACTTTTACTAAGGAATTTTTTTTCCTAAAGTTATAACATGAATTGTTTCTGATATATAGCCGAGAGATCGGCTTATTGGACCACCCGGTACATTAAAGGTGATTAAACTAGCAAGAAAGATCTGTAACTGTTTTCTTGTGGCATGTGTGTGTTAATAATTGTGCTTATAAGGGATTGAGCCACAATGGATTGTAATGAAAATTACATTTCTATCTAAAACATTTGAGTTTTCGATTTCCATTTTAAAAATCGTTCTTATAAAAGATTATTTAAGAATTTTGGTAAAGATAGTGCATAACCGTCAAGATTATTGACGAGGTTATGCCATATATACCATAACCTGGTCAACAACATTAGTCGGTTATTGTTGTTATACTCGAAACTTAAATCAAGAAAAGTATTTTTGTTATCCAGAAGAAGGAATGCAAGGTACGCAGTCATTAACATATCGTTTATTGAATGTGTGTTAAACTTCAATTTAGAGATAACTGTTGCTATTGTGCTTAGATAGCCGAACCCTTGGAAAGGAAAGATGACAGGTAACACTCATTTAACAAACTTTCGCGAAGTGAAGCCAGTTTCGATGTGACCGCCATGTTTTGGTCCCTGTACGTTGTCCATTACTACCTCTCGGAAGGTAACCAGGTCTACTGATTTTTCAGTAGATCTACTACTGATTTCAACTTCAATTTACCGATTTACTGAAACACCATACCGATCTACTAAAAAATATGTAATGATAAAATCATGTTGTCATTATATCAGTGTTCAATTATAAATTTTGAAAAAAATCTATTTATCGATATATATCCATTATTCTCAATCTACTAAAGAAGTAAAATATGACCTGCAACCTTTCTGGTGCCGGTTTGGCTTCAGTCAATTTCATACGGTTACACGTCCCCTCTCTTTCCTTGTCTTAAGCCGAACCCATAGCCACTTCAGAAATCTGAGAATGTTATCTAATACAAAAAAAATCTTTTTCTTGATTTAAATTTAGAGTATAACAACAATAATCTACTAATACCAACTAACTAGCTTACAAAAGATGTTTAGTCCGGGAGATATCCAAAATTTTAACACCAAGGCACCGGTAACGGTGAATAAAAGAAGTGTTGTATTTAGTATTACTGACAGAGCAATTAAGCAACAATACCATTTCCAAAATCTGAAAAAGTTGAAGGTATCTTTAAAAGAAAAAAAAGTATACACCAGAATTTTACAACCATCTAATTAAAAAACAAAGTTGCATTAGTAGAAATCAATATAATTCTGATACCAATCCAATACAAACTCAAACCATACCTAGCAATAATAATAATAATAATGTCACTAAATCAAACAAACACTATAAATCCCTACCATACAATAATGGATTCTCTGAACAAATGTCGAAATATGATATCAATGGTGAACATAAATCGTGGTAAAGACTGCAATTCGACATATATTGGGCGAACACACCAACATCTATATAGAAGTATTGTTGCACATAAACATAGTATACAAATTAACAAATGAAACACTAAAGCCTTAGCCTAGCATTCTCTAAAAAACAGAAAATAGAAAAGTGCAGAAAAGACTGATATTAAAGATCTTTCCAATATGTATCATAATTCAATAAATTAAGTTGATTTTTAAATGCACCGTTGGCAGATATTTAAGATACGACCCCTGATAAGTACCTGCCATATATATTTTTGGGTCAGATACCATTTTTGCATTCCATGTAAAGTCAATAAATAGTGTAGACATAACATATAATAATTGTGTATCATATAATGTTAAATAAATAGAGAAGTAGAGAGAAAGATAGAGAGAGAAATAGAGATTTTTTAAAGACAAAATGTTGATTTTTTAAAGACGGAAGAAATAATAAAACAGAGCCTAGAAACAAGAAGTGGTACATCAAAAATTTGTCAACATGAACCATATAAAAATCGAAAAGGAAATAAAAGCACTCAATTAATTCATTTCATAAAAATATTTAAACTTTGAGGGTGTACAAGGCAACTATCGAACACGGTGATTAATTTAATCTTGCCCAAGTACTTTCGATCAATAGATCATCTTCAGGGGCATTTCGTCAATTGTGGCCTATCCGACATAGTAGAATGTCATAAATGTAAAATCTGGACATAACAATACAAAATACACTACACTAAGACAAACAAACACTTTAAAATTTATATAAATTTTAAAGTGTTTGTTTGTCTTAGTGTAGTGTATTTTGTATTGTTATGTCCAGATTTTACATTTATGACATTCTACTATGTCTGATAGGCCACAATTGACGAAATGCCCCTGAAGATGATCTATTGATCGAAAGTACTTGGGCAAGATTAAATTAATCACCGTGTTCGATAGTTGCCTTGTACACCCTCAAAGTTTAATTATTCGAACATTCAACCTTATATTGATAAAAATATTTGGTTATCGTAGATTGCATATAATTAATTATACTGGATGGGAGGATATGAATGTTGATGTGCATATTTATTACGTTGATGTTGAAAAAGCATTTGACAAAGTAAGACATGAAAAATTAGTCCAAATTCTAAAGACAAAAAAAATGGACCATAGGGACTTACGAATAATAACAAACTTCTACTGGAATCAAAGAGCACAAATCGTAATAGATAACGAACCCAGTCCAGAAATTAAAATCAGGAGAGGAGTTAGGCAGGGATGTATTAGGTCCCTATTACTATTTAATGTATATAGTGAAGCCATTTTTGAAGAAGCATTACTATCTCAAAGTGAAGGAATATAAACATATGCAACATGTTTCAACATATGCAGATGACAGCGCAATTATGGTAAGCTCTGCTGAACTACTCCAATTACTGCTAAACATAATAAACAGTTTCTGTGAAAAATATGGACTAAAAATGAACATAAAAAAGACCAAATACATGATAATAACAAAGAAAACAAATATACCAACAAACATACATTTGGGAAATGTACCGATAGAAAGGGTTGATAAATACAAATACCTAGGAACCTGGATTTTAGACAATAATGATCAAACAACCGAAATAAGAGCCAGGATAGAAATAGCAAGACATGCGTTTGTAAAAATGAAAACAATTATCTGCAACAAAGACCTTAGATTAGAACTGAGAGTATGAGATGCTACGTGTTTTCGATATTGCAATAAGTTACAGTCCTTTGAAATGTGGTGTTATAGGAGGATGCTTAGAATATCATGAACACAGAAGAAAACTAACACGGAAGTATTGCGAGAAATGGGCAAATAATTCGAAATAACAAACACAATAAAAATATCTGGGACACGTTATGAGGGGACAGCGATATGAACTGCTAAGGCTGATAATACAGGAAAAGATAAGAGGAGGAAGGTGTAAAGGAAGAAGGAGAGTGTCATGGTCGAAGAATTTAAGGAACTTGTTTAAATGCAGTTCTATAGAACTCTTCAGAGCAGCAGTAGATAGACTAAAGATCGTGATGATGATATCCAACCTCTGATTGGGAGAGGGCACTTAAAGAACAAGAATTCTACTGGGAAATAACAACATCTATGTATATTAAAATAATTATATGAATGATACTTTAACTTTCCTCTGGACGATTTTTGTGGTTTTGTCTAGTGCTTATACCAGTACATAGGTCCAATACACAACTTGGACCTGCTTTTAGTTTTGTCGTCACCCCAGTTTATAAAAACTTAGTATAGTTTGAAATTATCTGAATAGAAATAAAATTACAATAAAATATGCAGAATAAACCCGCACGAGTACATTCACAGCCTTATATACTTTAGACCAGTCATAACACTATAATCATCAATTTGTACTAATACTAACGAAAAATGTTCCCTCTACGGATCTCTCAAAAATATCTTAGATATTCTTAATATCTACATAATGACAATTGATAAATTGAAGAAACTGTGAGCGATTTTAAAAAAATATTAATTCTCTTATTTCTAAATTTTTCATATTTCCTATCTCTTTTCTCTATTAATTCATTTCGTATTTTTCGTTAACATCGTTATCTTTTGCGTTTTACTACTGTCATCTAAATCCGTTATACTCCTCTATACGGCAATGCTGTTGTGTACTATAGACAAAGTTTAATTTTCAGTTCAATTTTTTATGTAATTTAATAACGCCCGTGATTTAACACAAAATTCTATATGTACCGAGGTCTTTAAATTAATAAAAATATATATACAAAAGTATACTAAAATAGAAAATATTTTCAAATAAAAAATATTTTCAAAATTTTTGTACAAAATTTCCTTTACACTTCTACACTTTCGACTCCGAATCTTTACCCATTAAATTACTGGTAACGCTAGGTTCATTAGCTTCCACATCTCTGACATCATTCACACTAATACCACCATTAATGTCCACCACAGTAGCTGGGAGGTTTCCTGCGTTGGCGTCTTCTATAGCATGGCGGAGTTCTTTTAAGCCCACTACTCCCACTAGTTTTCCAATTGCTGTTACGTACGCGTGGTTGACTCCTACCATGGAAAATATGGAATGAACTTTCAATAAGGAAGTTCTCTCTACTAGTTGGAAGGGAGCTGGATCTATATGACAAATGAATTCGACGGGAAGTGACATCTGTTCCTCCTCCCATTTCTTTTGATCTTCTGGACTCATATCACATATACGTTCTTTGGGCTAAAATTCAAAAGAGGTAGTGAAAAAATAGAAATACAACAAAATTTTATCAGTAAAGTTATTAACAATCGAGTGCTCAGATTATATTTCTGCCATAGTCTTATCGTTTTGCAAGACAACGGCCACGCATATTCTTTAAACCCAATTTACCTAGAATATTACGAAGGGCGGGAAGTATATTCAAAGTATGATTGAATAGTCAGTTAAACTGATGAAAATTAAGAATATAACTGTTTTATCTAAGGAAAAAAATTAAAGATGGAAGCAATACATAAAGATCAGTAACACAGTATCGCAGAAAGGATTACAAATAGAATAGGAAAGTGTCTTGGTACGTACGTACGAAAGGTCGTACAGAAGTACTGATCCCAAAAATTTAGACATCGGTCTGATAATCGATAAAACAAAAACAGTGATAATCAAGTCAAAATTTCAAGTTAAACTTCTTTTTAATTGTCAATTTATAAACTGTGTAACATAGCTTTTTAAACATTAATTTATACGTACAGGATGATTCACGCTAGTCTAGTATAATTCATTATCTTAATTTTTCATAAAACACCCTGTATATTGTTATGTTTGTACTTTAAAAGTTAAAATTCTGCCTTGTTTTAGATATATATATTGACATAGAAATCTGAACACCTAGTTTAAATGATTTTATTTTAATAAAATTTTGTATAAGTACTTAATGAAGCATAAAAAGTAAATGATTAAAATTTCAAAATGATTGCATTGCTTTAAAGCTCTTTTATCTATAATAATGTGTGCATGCCACCCCTTGTGTTAAGAATTCTCCAACGCTTCTAGGCATGCTTCTGATCAGGTGGTCAATGTCCTCTTGTGGTATCTCATTCCAGGCAACTATCAACTCCTCTCGAAGTGCTTGTAGAGTCTGAGGAGGACGTTGCAAATTGAGCAATCTCCTACCCATCATATCCCACGCGTGCTCAATTGGGAATGTGACATCATTATGTTAAAAGACATATGTGACCCTTGCAACAAGTAGTTGGGCATTATCTTGTTGAAAAGTTGGATTTGCCAGGGTGTCAAGAAAGGGTAAAAGGTGGGATTCTAGAACTTCTTGGATATAACGCTGTGTGTTCATGTTACCTCTGACGAATATTAAAGGTGACCTGGAACCATAATCTATAGCACCCCAAAACATAACATTAACAGTGTGATGAACATGTCTTTCAACAAAAAACTGTGGATTCCTCATTTTACCACGTCGCCTAACCTTCGCTTGACCATCGTGCATTCCTAAACAAAAATTGAGACTCGTCACTAAAGACTATACTTTTCAATTTCTGATTCCAGAGTGACCGTTCTCTGCACCACTGAAGGCGATTATGGCGGTGTTCTGGAGTTAAAGGGAGGATCCAGTGTTGTCGGTATGAAAACAGGCCAAAACTTCTCATTCGTCGGTAAACACTTCGCATGCCAATAGGTCTTCCGTGTTCTGCAAACCATTCATTTGCAATGGAGCTGGTAGTGCAGAAACGGTCTCTTAAGGCCAATAATCTTAGGCGGCGATCTTCACGGTCTGTTGTTATACGGCGGCGTCCAGTGCCCCTTGCTCTATGCGTACAGCCTTCTTAAAGCCATGCCTGACAACACCTCATCACGGTGTCTACACTTATTTGCCCTCTAACTGCAACTTCCCGAAAAGAAAGTCCAGCTTCCCGAAGTCCAATTATTCGGCCCCTATTAAACTCACTAAGTTGACCAAATCGTACAGGTATCCGTACTCTAGGCATCGTAACCAATCGTAAAGAATGTCAAGAACCACAATCCGTCAAATTTGGATCTTTATTGCGGCTGAAATATTCATTTTTAAATTGTTAGTGAATTTAAAAACAAAAAATATAGAAACCGGAATCTCCAACTGATAAGGCTAAAAACTTTATCACTTTTTTTTTCAGTAAGATAAATAAATTACACCAAATTTTATTGAAATAAAATCATTTAAACTGGGTGTTCGGATTTCTATGTCACTTAGTATATTTCAAATGGCTAATATTTGTTGCCAAAACTCAAAACCGAAATTTCATTTATACAGTCACCGGCACGAAAAGCGCTGGCCAATCCATTACAGGAATGTTAACTTAATTTTTTAAAATGTGTTGAGTGATTTTTGCACTGTGAGGCTTGGCATTATCATGCATCAGAACAAAGTAATTTCCAACAGAACCAGCATAACCTAAGACCCTACGAGAACCCTAAGAATGAAGGTTAATTCTGCAAAACGCTCATGTGGTCTTTGCCATACTCTTTCACGGCAATCTGGAGACTGCATGGTAAACCTGGATCCATCAGTAAATAAAACGTGCCTCCAATTATGTACAGTAAAATGAGCATGATTTCTGGAAAACTGAATCCGCGCAATTCAATGGAGATTGAGACGTTGTAGGTCTGTTGCAGGTTTCTTAAATTTGCTTTTCCAAGCCTTCGTCTAATTGTTCGTTCACTTACGTTAGTTTTCCGGACGTACTGAATTTAATTTCTGATTTGTACAGCCGTGACATGACGATCTCGTAAACTTTGTAAGAGGATGAAGCGATCATCACGGGCACAAGTTCCAGATCGTCTAATGTAAGCTACGATTGCCAAGAAACGTTTGAAAATATGGTCCACAGTACTATTGGATATTTGATACTTTTGAGTAACATATCGCTCACTTCTTCCGTCTTGAAGCAACGCAACAATAGCAGGACTGTTTCGGGATTTACAACCATAATTCTTAAGATTAAATCAAGGCAATTAAACTTTAAATTATGTTTGACACTTGATTAGACTTGACAGACTTAAATAACAGACAGACTTAAATAGACAAGAACAAAAGAATAAAAATAGAATACAAACAGCTACCTTTAGACTTTTAAAAGTGATAGTTTACTCACATAGACAAGAACAAAAGAATAAGAATAGAATACAAACAGCTACCTTTGCACTTTTAAAAGTGACAAAAATAGTGTATTGTTTTGCAAGTGCTTTGTTTTTCGTGCCGGTGAGTGTAGATTCTGAAGATTGGATCTTCTAAAAACATAAAAATATACCTGGTGTATAAATCACCCTGTACATTTAAATTTATGTTTAAAGAGCGAACTTTTAAGATACAAAACGTCAGAAGCGCCAGAAGATACAAAACTACTGGTTCAGTTATCACAAAACCTAGAAATGTACGTAAAAGTCAAATAACCGAAGCAGATCGAAGGGCATTAAGACGCATTATAGTGAATAATCTTCGAGCAAAATTATATGGAGTTAAGAGTTTTGAAATGACGTTATTGGGAGACACGTTTCTAAATTAACATGTTACCGAGAGGCCCAAAAATTAGAATTTGGTACTTATAAAGTAAGTAATTCGACCGTTACTTGATGGAAATTCATTTTATGTAATAATAAAACACTGAAAACTTTGTTTTCAAACTTCCAAAAAAATTTTATTTTAACTCTTATCACTACAGCTGTTTCGGCTGATTGCCTTTCTCAAGTGATCTATTTTTGGCATGCGTTTACACTTTATAGTCTCTAATGAAATAGGTTGAGGAGGGGAGAACTGTTTGTCTCAAGTTGGTCATTCAGAATTATATCTGTTTTTTAATTTGTTGATTTCCATAGATTCTAACAAGGATAGCTTAAGGCCTTTATTTTGAATGTGAAGAATTCTAAATTAGTCGTTAAAAGAATGATTGTGATCTAGAACGTGAAGTGCGTATGTAGAATCTGTTTTTCTATTATTGAAAGCCCTTTTATGTTCTGCTATTCGTTTGTTAAACTTTCTACCAGTTTGACCGATGTAAGTTTTTGGGCAGTCGCCACATTTTAGTTTGTACACACCACTGTGTAAGCGTTTTTTATTTCGGCTCTTGTTGTTTTTGATATATTTGCCTAGGTTGTTATTTGTTCGGAAAGCTGGCGTTTCATCGGTCAAACTGGTAGAAACTTTAACAAACGAATAGCAGAACATAAAAGGGCTTTCAATAATAGAAAAACAGATTCTACATACGCACTTCACCTTCTAGATCACAATCATTCTTTTAACGATGAATTTAAAATTCTTCACATTCAAAATAAAGGCCTTAAGCTATCCTTGTTAGAGTTTATGGAAATCAACAAATTAAAAAACAGATATAATTCTGAATGACCAACTTGAGGCAAACAGTTCTCTCCTCCTCAACCTATTTCATTAGAGACTAATGCATTAGACTATTTCATTAGCCGAAACAGCTGTAGTGATAAGAGTTAAAATAAAATTTTTGTGGAAGTTTGAAAACAAAGTTTTCAGTGTTTTATTGTTATATAAAGTTGGTTTTATGGTTGAAAAAAATTAGTACAAATAGTTTTTAATACATTTCCCTCTTTTTAATGAATTTTCCTAAGGAAAAGCCACTTTTAACATCACTACAAAAGAAAAATAGACTAAGATGGTCAAAAGAGTATAAAGATGGGACTCAGTCGTAATAGGATTCAATACAATGGAGTTGTGAGTCCAGACTTGAAGTGTGTATTGGGGTCGCCTCATTCGCAAGAAAAATGAAGCTTTGCAATTCGACTGCCTGGAGAGAAAAGTAAAATTTCCTGCATCTGTCATGATCTGGGGCAGCATGTCGTCTAAAGGTGTGGGAAACATTTTATCGATGGGATTGTAAACACGAACAAATATTTGAATATATTAGAAGAATCTCTTTACCGATTATGGAACACAGTTTAACATCAGCGGAAGATTTTGACTTCCAACAGGACGGCGCAGGTTGTCATACCTCAAAAAAGAGTTTAAAATGCATTGAAGACCATGGCATACCACTTCTGGAATGGGTTTCTAACAATCCCGACTTATCACCGATAGGGACTTTGCGGCGCACAATTAAAAAAGCTTTGAGAAAACATTGTGGCAGGTCCGTCAACGAATTGAAGAAAAATTGCAAGAAATATATGATCCGTTTACATTAGAATTTTGTCAGAACTTGGTAAAAACTATGCCTCGAAGAATTGTGGATGTCATTAAAAATAAAGGGTATGTAACTCAGTGGTAAACTTTTACATTTTTTTTGTCAATATTACATATTCTATGCGTTTTTTTTTTAAATTTATTATTATTCTGTTTAATCAATAGTTTTCATTAGGTTATAGAATATTTTCTATAATTAGGAAATTCAAAAATGTTGTTCAATGCATTAAAAATTTGCTGCGCTTTTATTTTTGTTCTCTAAAATTTAACTTTTTTATCAATCTAACTTTGGGCCAACTGATATGGAAAGGTGCTAGTAAATAAAAACGTTTTGATTTAGAAACAGATTATGATGTAAAAAACACTGCTTGTTTGCCTGCTTTAAACTACTGCTTCAAAAGTGAATCAGATCTCTATTTATTTATAAATTAGAAAAAATAATATAATTAATATAACTATACTTACTAATTGTACTTTTTTCAGACTGTGGGGACTCATTGGAATAATTTGTGGTCTTCGACCCCAAGATCCGGATCTTAGCAAATTATTGGAACCTCCTTCATCGCTTCCACCGAAGTGGCTTCTTCTATAAAATAAAAAATATATATTGAATCGAGGCTTACCAATTAGTGTAATGTACATACATTATAAAATAAAATAATTTATTTTTAATCTTGACATTTATAGATTGGAAGATGTTAAACTAAAATTTTAAAATAAATAATAAATATTATTGGGAATTTATTGGATCTCCAAACTAACTCTTGTACAAACCACAAATTGATTAAACAAACACAATAAAAATAAGCTTTTTATTTTTTTTGTTCGGTATATGATCTTAAAGATGAATCAGATGCTTTAGAATATATAATACAATGTTCAAGATATCAATACAAAAACTGTGGTTATTGGAGGAACTAAAACAGATGATAATCAGGGGGTTAAATTGATTGCCATGTAAATGCATGAACAGGGACTGGTGCTGGCTCCACAAAACATATAGTCATTTTGGTTGGGTGGAGAAAACTAAAATAAATCGAAATTAACATGGCGTGAGTGCAAATTGTGACGAGCTAATCCTTGGGCTGAAAATTTACAGGAAAATATAAGACTGCGTACGTTGAGACTTGAGAGCATTCTTGTAAAGAGAGCAAGTATGGATAGAGACTTTAAAGATAAATAAGAATGCTGCTAAACCTAAAGGGCTTTGGACAAACACCATCCTCAGGGTATGTTCATCAGTCCTGGCTGATTGTGCTTTATAGAAAGACATAATAGCAGTGTTAACTAGAGAGGTTCAATCATAAAAACGTATGAGCTGTTGTAGTCAAAAGAAAACAGATAGGGATGTGAAAGTAAAAGAGAGGGGAAAGAGGGAGAAGTATAATTGGATCCGATCTTATCATTAAACTCAGCACCTCTTCGGGTAGGTGAACTGTCATCTAACTCAGGTATTAAAGATAGTTGTTTGTTTCAGTTTCAACATGAAACGAATTAGCACGAAGAAAACTTATGTTTGTATATATTGCCAACAAAAATACAAAGATACTACGAAACATACTCTTGACAGAGGGAATCTAGTGTGGAGATGAGCGAAGGCGGTAGGACTACAACGAATTGCCTGGTTGAATTGATCCTCTGTAGTGAGAAATAAAAACAGAAGTTATTGTAGTAGAGAAAATATGATAAAGAATGGATGAGGCAGTGAAAGAATTGCTCTGTAAAATATTACAGCATAGGTTTTACACCACGCCATTCCTAACGGGTTTGAATGGGTAAAAATTACCCACTACACTGCAGCATGGGTCGAGTGGTGTCTTATGAAGATTTTTATCCAACACATAACAAAAAAAGATTAAATAAAGTTTGGAGGGAATTGGTTGGGATTTAAGAAATATATTTTTTATCTTAAAATTTTCTAAAATTGGAAATTGTTTTTAATATCGAAGTCATAACTTTACGGATATATATTTTATTTTATTATCCATGAAAATTTTTCCCACAAATTATGTTAAAAACTCAGATAACATCCCAGAAAAGGAGCATATTTATATATAAACCTTGCATTAAACCGTTGTCAGTATTCCAATATTTCATTTTGCAAGTCAATACATAATGGATTATCTGTTCAGTTAAAGAAGATATATTTTTTGTTCAGTTACTAGTGGGCCCTAATAGTTTTATTTGCGCATACCAGTGTACTTTTTGCAAGCAAAGGTGATTTGAAAATTCCGTACTATTTTTCAAATATTTATACCAATTAAATAATGAGTCTTACCTGAATATTGCATCGAACGCTGATCGCAATCGATTTTCTGCTCCAGTAACAGTTGTATAAGGGGTCGAAGTCGGACTAGTTGACAAAAAAGGTGTGATACCTTTGAGCGTTACAGAGCTTGTCTTTTTTAGGATGGATTTCTTGGGATGTGTACCATATACTGGATGGAAAGTTGGCTGTGGGCAAAAAATAAATTAAATACTTAGTTAATTACCAAGAAAATATTTCTGAATATCATTGCGTATTTTCATCATATTGATTTCTCTTTGCATTTTTATCTCTCGGTATTAGACAGATTTAATTTGTCCTTTAAATGTTTCGGAATTATAGAAATGTTCAAATTTATAAACTTATTAACTATAAACTTTGGCAATCCCGAAGAGGGTCCATAACTAAACGGATAGAGTAATTTAGTAGTGACTTCTGACACCATTGTATGTCCAAAGCTAGGATAAAAGAATAGGGATACTTGGTAAGACCAGCAACCTACCAAGAAAGGACGATTTGCTCATAGAACCAACAAACCAATTCGATTAGGATAGATACTAATAAGCTAACGACACAAGCAACAACAAGAAAAAATATTGGGATTAAAAACAAATAAAAAGGGAACAATATAAGAGTAGCAATCTGAAACATCTAAGCAATGAACAAAAATGGCAAAGAGATATTAAAGAAATAAGACCATAAAATAAATATATGCGCAAAAGAATGACAAAGAATAGCATTGGCTAAGGAAGAGTCACCTAGTGTTTAGCGCAGTCTCTAAGAACAACACAGCAAAAGAAGTTACAAAAAATGATCAACGAAGACTGAAAGTGTAGATTAGGTATTAGAAAGAATATTGATAGTAGAGCTAGAATATGTAAATATTTAAATTATTAAATATATACGGACCCGCTAACTATAAACCGCAAGAAGACAGATCGAAAGTTAACGAAGATATAGGGTGTATCTAAAAGGTGTAACTTTCTAAACTTTCTCTTTACGTGTATATTAAAAGAATAATTATCCTAGCAAGGAAATGCGCTTGTGTAGTGAACTTGTGCTTAAAAAGTTAAAAAATGTTCGGTATAAACGTCTCTGGGCAAAAAATAAACCCTTTTTAAAAAACACATTTTCCGAAATTGTAGTAATTGTGACGTACTTAATTAACATTAACATCTTTGAAAATTATTGACGTCTTTTCTGACAAATCTAGAAGAAGGCATTTCCTGGTAGATTCGTTCAGAAATTCATCTTATGTATCAGGATAACTCCTGATGGTTAAATCAGGAAAATTTAATAGAACTCTCAACCTGCTTGAAGACTGTGAAAGCTACTCCATGGGGATTATTTTATTTACCTAAGTAGTAAATTGTATGGTCGTTTATATAGTACCTTCCGTAACCATGCCAACGCATGTCACTATTTATTACCCAATATTGAGTTATTCAGTATTTTCATTTCTAGAGTATTGAGATTTTCCACCCTCATATAAGTCTTATATTCCAAGTACCTATTCCTAGTCCAGATCAGTAACAGCTGAACAGGAGATTTTTCTTACCCCTGCTCTATTCAAAAAGCTCCGTATTTGGGGCCATAATGCTATTTTCCTGGAATAGTTATCATCCTCATCATAATCATTAACAGCAGATGTGTTGTGGTGCATCATTGAGCTTCAGCAGCTTGGATATTATAATTAAGCCTCAGTATACTGTTTGTAACGGCTTGTGAACAAACTGGATAGTTACCAACCTTGTGAACAGGCTGGGTTCCGCTCCAGATACGGAACAAATAATCATCTGCAAGTTGTAAAAACGCTAGTAGAAAAGTATACTGAGTATGACAAGCCTATCTTTCTTATATTCGTAGATTATGAAAAGGCGTTCGATACTATAGATCATCATAAAATGCTTCGAGCATTGGCTGACTGCCGCATTGACTACCGATATATTGCCTTGATTAAATTTTTTTACGAAACTGGTACAGCTTGTGTCCGCCTTCATGAAGATACCAAGAAGTTTCGAATAGAACGTGGAATTAGACAGGGTGATACTATCTCCCCTAAATTGTTTACAGCTGTTCTTGAATATATGTTCAAGCAGATGGAACGAGAGGATAATATGGGAATTAATATAAATGGTGAAGATCTGAACCACCTAAGATTTGCCGATGACATCGTTTTGATATCTGATAGAGTTGATAAAGCTACAAAAATGCTGCACACGCTCTATAAAGTGTCAAAATCAATTGGTCTTAAAATTAACACCTCAAAAACAAAATTTATGACCAACCTTGTAGTCAGCGGTAAAATTCTGATTGAGAACCATAACATCGACCAAGTAATAGCTTACAAATATCTAGGGCATGAGATTCGCCTAGGTCGAGATAATCAGAGAACTGAAATACAAAGAAGGATAGTTGTTACATGGGCTGCCTTTGGTAGATTGAATAACATTTTCAAGTCTAGTATCCTAGTTTGTTTAAAAAGAAAGGTTTTTAATCAGTGCGTTTTACCGGTTCTTACATATGGTGCAGAAATGCTGACTCTGACAAAAAGAACAATAGATAAAATAAGAGTTACACAACGCGCTATGGAAAGATCAATATTAGGTATTACCATCAGAGATAAAGTACCAAACCTAGAAATAAGAAGAAGAACAGGAGTCACACATGAAGTTGAAAAAATAGCCAGGGCTAAATGGGCTTGGGCCGGATATGTTGATAGATTAACGGATGACAGATGGAAGATTCTGGAATGGCGACCAAGGCAAGATGCATATTAAAGCAGAGGACGACCACCGACTAGACTGGATGCAAGAACCTCAAGACAGAAATAAGTGGAAAATTTTACCGGAGGCTTACGTTCAGCGGTGGACAAATATGGGCTAATTGATGATACTGTTTGTTAAGAAGCTTTTATGTAATGTCTGTCCATAGCTGTGGAGATCTGCCGCGTTTGCGTTGACTTTGAGGCCTTCTTTGGACCAACAAGCGCTAAATTTTGTGATCGCTTCGATGGATATAATCAAACAACTTTAGAATTCTAAAGTAAGTCTAGGGGTATCTTTTGTGTTTTTATTCGGATCTCTAAGTGCTACCCTATTTAGAGAATTAGTTTATTTTTTAATATTTTCGCACACGTTAAGGTAGAATTTTTTTTATTGAGTTTAATGCGTCGAGAACTATTGGTCATTGACATGGTATAGTGAAATTTTTACAGTCAGATAGTGTGTAGTGTGTGTGTAGGTGTAGAGTAATTGTCTTGATGCTTAGCAAAGTCGACGTCAACGTCTTTGCTAAGAGACGCTAATTGTATCCGAACGTCTGCAGTCCCTTCGGTGAGTACCGATCACACAAGGATCGCACAAAGGTAGGCGCTCTTACCACTGAGCCACAGAGGGGTTTGAAGGTAGAATTAATACAGTAATAAAGTCATTACATGACATTACATTACATACAGACCTATAAGTTTGTTGTCACACTTATACAAATTGTTAACAAGAATAACCAACCGCATAACACAAAAACTTGATTTATATTAACCGGTTGAACAGGCGGGATTTAGAAAAGGGTTTGGCGCTAATGATCACTTACAAACCATCAGAACACTAGTAGAAAAAAACCACAGAATATAATGTACCTTTACATATGGCATTTATCGACTTTCACAAGGCTTTCGATAGTATTGAGACTTGGTCCTTTTTGTCAGCCCTGAAGTATGCTCGAATAGACTCACGGCACACTACACTCATTAAAAACATTTATGAACAGGCCACATTCCACATCAAAATCAATGAAGACGAAAAAACTGAAAAATGCGCCTGGATAAAGGTATTAGACAAGGTGATACTATTTCACCAAAGCTTTTTAGCTTAGCATTGGAAAATGTATTCAAACAGCTTGACTGGGAGGAAAAAGGTCTAAACATTGATGGTGTACGTTTGAGTCATTTGAGGTTTGCGGATGACATAGTATTATTTAGTACAGATATCAAGGAACTGGAGCAAATGTTGAAGGAATTAAACCAGCAGTCAAATAAAATAGGTCTCAAAATGAACCTTCAGAAAACAAAAATAATGAGTAATTTACAAACTAATCTTGTTATTGACAACGTCAGTCTTGAAAATGTAGACCACTATATATATCTTGGACATACCATTAAAATCGGCAAAAAAAATCATATAGCCGAAATAAAAAGACGCATACAACTGTCTTGGGGAGCTTTCGGCAAATTAAGCTTTATTTTGAAGAATAAAGATATACCAATGTGTCTAAAACGTAGAGTTTATGACAAATGTATCTTGCCTGTAACTACATATGGACTGGAGACCATGGCCTTCACAAAGAAAACCTTAGAGCAGCTCAGTACAACCCAAAGAGCAATGGAGAGGGTCATGCTAGGGATTAGTTTGAGAGACAGGATTCGAAATAACGTCATTCGTGAAAGAACAAAAATTACTGATGTCTCAGAACGTATTGCAAGGCTCAAGTGGCAATGGGTCGGACACGTTGCCCGAGATAATCCCGAAAAATGGACACAAAGATTAACAAACTGGAGACCAAGAGAGAACAGGCGAAGAGTTGGCAGACCGCAGAAGAGGTGGACAGACGATATCAAACAAGTCGCAGGCAAGCAGTGGATGAGAATTGCCAAAAGTACAAATCGATGGAAGCAAATGGAAGAGGCCTATATCCAGCAGTGGACGAACACAGGCTGAAGAAGAAGAAGAAGAATAAAGTCATTTATATAAAAATCAACTTTCTATTTTATCCGATTACCCATTTTGTGCCTAATTCTTACCAGCGCCTAACTCAACATATATTTCGTATATTTTATTCTCAATTCTATCACGGATACAAGATTGATTAGATAAAAACAGTTTTAGAAACGTATAAAGATGTTGAAGTTGCGCAGTTCTTACCTGTTCTAATTCTGATACAGATACTTGCTTCTTGTAAACATCAGGGGCTGGAACAACCTCGAATCTCGACGGTCGTCTTTGACGTTCTTCTTCTTTTCGCTTCTCTTCTTCTCTTGCTTTTTCCTCAGCTTCCTTTTGTCTTATTGCAGCAACCTAGTAATAGAAGAAAATGTTTTTAAAATTTTAATAATTTTTATTCGATCTTATTTCATTGGGAGAAATAATTAAAAACAAAAAAATAATCCTATTTTACCTGCATTCTACGTTCTCTTCCTATTTGTTTTTCTATTAACTGTATCAGATGCAATCTTCTTATGGAACCTAGTAGAACCATACTGTCGGGTTTGTCCACTAACGGAAAACTCTGAAGTCTTTTATTTCCTTTTAAAACTGCTTTTAATTGTTCGTATGTCATTCCGTAGTAAATATATTTTATATCTCTAACCATAAAGTCTTCTACGTAAATGTTATAAATACCTGAAAGCAAAAGAATAAAGAAAATTAATAAAAATGAAATATTAGGAAAGCAATAAGTAATTAAATCGTATTAAATAAAATAGTTAAACGTTAAGTAAAACATAAAGTGATAATATAAATTTAACTAAAATAACTAAACGAATTTAACTAAAAGATATACATAATTCCAATTTTTAGTTTTTACCAGACACATTTTTTGATAATCAGTTCAAGAAAAGGTAATAATAATAACATAATTATTATTATGTTTATTCTCTCTCTCTTCAATCCTGACCCCCCAGGGGGAGTGTAGTGGTCGACGTGATGTCGTGTATTGTCCGTTTCCAGAGATCTCTATCTCTGGTCATTTCTTTTAATTCATGCATAGGTCTTTGGCATATTCCTGTAATTTGATCTATCCATCTTGTTGGGGATCTTCCTCGTGATCTTCGGCCTTCTACCTTTCCTTGTATTATGAGTCTTTCCACGTTTTCTGTGTTTGCTCTCATAACATGCCCAAAATATTTTAATTGTTGGAAATGGACTAGAGAGTCGTTGGCTAACTTTTACCTCTCTTAACATTGAATTATTTGTTGTACGGTTGGTCCAAGGAATTCGTCGTAACATTCGTCTCCAACAGAACATTTCAGTGGCGTCTATCTTTTTCTCTCCGATTGTCTCAGAGTCCAAGATTCACATCCGTAGGTCAGTATTGAGAATATTAAGCAGTTGATCAACCTCATCTTTATCGCTTTTGAAATTTGACAGTCCTTCCATATTTTGGTCATTTTTGCTGTGGCAACTTTTGCTAGATCACATCTACGTTTAATCTCTCCTTGTAATGACCCTGTGTTTGTAATTAATGATCCCAAAGTATGAGCTCACAACCTCGAACCGGTTAATTGTGGTTATGTGTGGATGATTGTTGTGTAGTCTATCCACTATCATGATCTTTGTCTTTGATATGTTTAATTGCAGACCAAGTATTTGACTTTCGTTTTCGATTAGTCGTATAAGTTACATCAGCTTTGCTTGACTATTTGCAAGAAGGGCTGTGTCATCTGCGAAACGTAGGTTGTTTAGTTTATGACCATTTATTGAGATGCCCTTTTTCCATCCTTTAAGTGCTCTTCGCATAATATACTCCCCATATATGTTGAATAAATATGGAGATAGTATACATCCTTGTCTGACACCCCGTTCTGGATGAAACTCGTTCGAAAGTGTGTCAAGTACTGTAACTGATCCAGTAGTGTGTTCATATAGTTCAGTTATAAGCGTAATTAGATGTTGTGGTACGCCTACTTCTTTTAGTATTCGCCATAAGTGTCTCCACTTGACCCTGTCGAAGGCTTTACGGTAATCTATAAAACAGATGTATAGTGGGATGTTGAATTCCCTAGATTTCTCGATTATTTGTCTTATATTCAGCAGGTGTTCTCGAATGCCTCTACCTTTGGTAAATCCAGTTTGCTCTTGTGGAATTTCTCTTTGGAGGAATGTTTTCAGTCTCTCATTGATTATATGTAGCATTATCTTGCTGTCATGGGATATAAGAGAGATAGTTCTATAATTGTCGCATTTATGGAAGCTGCCTTTTTTATGGTCGTTATTGTAGATTTTGTCCAGTCTTCAGGCCATTGTTTGGAATGCCATATGTGGTTACAGAGTAGATGAAGTAACTTTACGCTGGTTTCTTCTGTGGCTTTAAGCATTTCTGCTGTTATCATATCTGGACCTGGTGCTTTGTTATATTTGAGCTTGTTGATAGCCTGTCTTACTTCATTTTCGAGTATATCAGGTTCTTCTTCCACCTCGTCAGAGATTTGCCTTACAAGCTCCTGGCGTTGATCATCTTTATATAGGCCCCTGCAATACAATCTCCATGTCTCTGCTATGTCTTCTCTGTTTGTTCTCAGGGTTCCAGTGTTATCTTCAATGGCCCAAGTTCTGGCTCTGAAGTCTCTTATCAGGTAGCGTATTTTTCTAAATAGATCTCTCGGCTGATTATTCTGACTATGTATCTCAATTTCTTTGCATATATTTTGATAGTACTGTTTTTTGTCGGCCTTATATCTTCGTTTTATTTCTTTATTGAGGTTTCTTAAACTAGCTTTTTCCCTTTTACTATATACACCACATTATGTGTATGTACATTATGTTTATTACAGCATGTTAAAATGGTTATAATATTGTTTTATATCTTAAACACCGTTTTTATACAGATGAAGGAATATCTTTAAAAGACGAGATGGAAGTTGGCATTTCTACAGACGTGTTATGAAGCGTATGATAAAAGTCACCATGCCCCTTCACTCTTTCATCCACTATCTATCGAATTTACGCTACTATTTTACTTTGCTTAATTCTATACCACAACATTTTGAATGCGTTTTTCCGTACTCCAATTTCTCTTTCTCTTTAATCTCCGTAGCAATCGCAAGGTTTCAATATTTCTCACTAATGCAGTATCACTTCCACTATGATCCACTCATATAACACATTTTCATACCACCATTTTTTGTAACAAATTCCTCGCATTCAGAGTATGCTCCACAATATCTTCATAACCTCCTCGACAATATAAGTACAAGTGAGTATCCCAACTTGATTCTACTATCACCGCATCCATGGATATACCAGTAAGTCTGTACGGTGGAGACTGTTTACTGGAGGAGGACTACACGCAGAACATACTGGGTATAGGGACGTTCTCATACTTGACAAGGCGCGTAACAATGACTAACAGGTAATCTTCTATGAATATATATAACAACAGGTAATGTTTGAATAAGGTATAACCAAACAAATACAGCCGATCAACTGAGAAAAGGATATAAGGACAGATTTCTCGTTAACTGTAGAATTATTGATTAAGGAAGACAAATACCCTCATAAGCATCACAAATTATACATACACACATGCACACCTACACCATGCCTCATCAGAAAATCATCGGACAACCGAATCATAATGTAGTTTATCACATATTGAGATTTGTACTGCGATTGCTGTGCATCCCAATCCTGAGATGTAATACCGGTTTGTATATGGTATGCGTGTTGCAGTTCAAAATCGTTTCCTAAGCGGTGGTCAACGGAAATAGCTAACTCTGGAGAATCTTAGCTTTGATACGGTATAGGTATATTTGCCATGTCTGACAGACACGGTAAGAAAATAACTATATAAAGGGAATGAGTAGAGAAGATACTCTGTCTTTAGCCCAAATAGGCGACCCCAATCAGGGTCTTAAAGACAAAGCTTCAGAACAATAAGACAGCTTCGGCAGACTGTTGCCATGAGAAAATGTGATTTAGTGTTGATACAAGAAAAGAGAAGATACGAGTGTTAAAAAAAGGTCTATCGGGTGCTGGCGAAGTGCTTACATGTTACAGATCCGCCGGACTATTGAGCAGTTCTATATTATTTAATGGAAAATATGCAGTGAACCAATTGGCTGAAGGCGAATTGGTGAAAACAGGCAGTTTCTACAAAAAGGCCCTATACCGTTAAGCCAAATTAGCACAAAATCTAATTCGTCACATACTAGTCATCCCTCTACTATAATCTCTAAATCTCTCAGTTTTCACCTCTCTATTAATTAAACTGTGGCTGTTGTGGACCCATTCCTTCTCATTCCAAGGTCCTAATATTACAATTTTACACGTTTCAGAAAATTACGAATTTTTTGGCGATTACCAAAAATTTTGCGAACGTTTATTTAAGATTGAAGTATAATATATACACAGTGAACGATATACTTACCGCTACTGCTTGGTAGTAAATCTGGTAAATAAGGTAATTTCTTAATGAGTATGATACTGTCATAAATACTTGGCGCTAAAAGACTAGCAATTGCGTTAGATATCAACACTGATATCATTATTGGTATAATATGAGTAATTTGTCCAGTCATTTCAAAAACTATCACAGATACAGAAATGGTGTGGGTTACGGCGCCACTGAAGGCTGCTGCCCCTACAGTAGCGTATCCCCCAGGGATTATTTTAGCAACTTTGCCACCGTACCGCATACCTATAAACAGAAAACAAATATTAATTTTATTTAGTTTAACATATTTACCAAAATGTTATAATTTGCTTATTATACTGGGTTAAACAAAATCGTATGATTTTATGGCTAGACTAGCTGCTATATAAACTCAGTGTTAACCAGCTAATAAATATATTATTGAGAGGTTAAAAAATAATAACTTATAGTAATGAGACTGTTTTGAATGTGAAATAAGAAGGTAACTAAATAGGCTAGGGAAATAACCAAAAAAGTATACTGTTTGTGACACTTAATCGGCCAGGCAAACGATAGTTTGTTGTTTTAAGTAGTATGAAAAACCTGTAGCAAAAACCTATCTGTTTTATGCAGTCTATTTTTGGACTTCCTGCAGTGAACTAAATATCCACTGCAGGAAATATATAGGTTCACGTTATAGAGGTCCATACTATTCAAAACAACTGTCGTTTGCCTGGCCTTTTTTTCGTGTCACGGAAAAAAGCTTATTTCCCTGGGCTAAAAATATTACAGAGTAGAGGCTCTATAGATATATTGTTATGGATCGCTTTATCGATCAGAAATAGAATAAAGAGTTTTTTATTATGTTAATATACCGCGGGCATATAAATTAAAATACAACCCTGTACTTATTTGTAATAGTTAAAATAAGAGAAAACATTGTTCCGTGACGGGACCCTAACCTGACCCTGCACCCTGACGAGTTTTTCCGTGAAAGACTGAGTGAATAGTGAAAGAACAATGGAACCCGTATAATTATAGATTTAGGAATAAACTTGTAATTGTATTTTGCGGTGGGCATTTTTCGAAAGTAAATAAGAATTAGATTTAGATAAGAGATAACAAGAATTTGGAAACTTATTTCTGTTGAAAAAGGCAAAATTGTTAATGGTTTCTGAAAAGTAATTTGAGTGAAAGTAGTTTATTTGTTTTAAATATCATGTTGGAAATTTTCTAAATCGAAAATAAGTGGGAAAGATGAATGCTTATGATTGGTTAAAAAAGAATGGTGGGAATGAGAGAGTTGAGAAGGTTGTCTGGGAGAGATTAAAAGATTATTATGTTACCGGCAGACCAGAAGAGAAGACGTGTTTTCGTGTAGTCAATATGAGTACCAGTGTTTTCGTTTGTTAGTGAAAAAGGTGGAAGCTGAGCAGATCAAAATCGAGAAGATTAATACCTCTTTGAGTCTGCATAGTCCACGAGATATAATTAAGAAAGAAAGGAGAATTTGTGAATAAAGAGTACCGGTCAAAAGAGGCTTGGGCTTGTGTTTTCGGAGGAGTAGTTTGCTGGTATGCGGTTTGGATCGATGCTGAGAACGGGAAAGATTTGATGGTAGCCGGACATAATCAATCAAGGAAGGAACTGTGGTTTGATCGAGAGGAGACATCATTGGTATGAAAATAAAGGTCAGTCAAAAAAAAATTTGAATGAAAGAAAATTTTAAGATATTCTAAAGATAAAATCAAATATAAGCATACGAACTAAGATTCCAAGTTTCAAAGAGTTATTTTTTTTTGTGAATAAATTATATTTTTATGTGAATAAATAATGAATTTTGTGTGAATAAATTTATTTCTTTTTAGTAGATATTATTATAAAACAGATCAATAGATAGTTTGTAATTAAAATTAAATTTAGAGTATAGGAGTTTGTTGGGAAAGATAATTGCCCACAAAAGTTATTTATTAATCTTCATCGTATTGCTTATTGAAAATAAATAATAATTTGTGTGCATATTTATGTTGTTTTAATGTTAGTTCCGTTTCCTGTTCTATCCCGATTATGAGCAACTAGGAGGTACTGAACCCACTAGAAGAGATATATAAAGTAAACTGAATAAAGTCATAATTAACAAAAAAAGGCACCCTGAGAATTTTTAATAGTAATTGAATTGTATGACTCTGCATAAATTAGTGAATTAATTAATTAAATAATTGCATTAATTAAATTAGTGTTAATTAATAATAAAACATCATAAAGCAGATCACAACAATATTTAGCTTCTTTGATCTATTTGAACACCTGAGAGATTACTGGATTAAAATGCTAGCAAATGAATATTACATGTAAAATATAAACTAATTCATGATAAAAATTACTGATGAGTTCGTGAAAAAATTGACACAAAATATGAGAAAAGCTACGAGAGTATCAGATATCTTTGTAAAGCACTATATTTATGTACAGTTCTACTTATACAAATGATATTTTCTGTTTATATTTACCTGAAGGAAACCACAGGTGCATCAATTCGCCTATTATCCTACCAGTCGCTGCTCCAATCTTAAACACTGGTATGAATATACCACTTGGTACTGGTAATGTCGAACAAATAATAGACGTCACAAACTGTAAATGAGCTTAGTGTTAATTTAAAAAATTAAAAAATATAAAGATTAAACATAAAAAATAAAACAAATATATAATACATTATTTCCACAGAATTCCAAACACTGCTTTCATTTTGAAGAATGTATTCCTATCTATCTATCCCATCTATTTGATTCTAATTTTGCCTAATCAGGATCCCATTTATCGTTTAGCCAGCATCCCAAGTACTTAAATATCTTTACTCTTTCTTTATATTTATTTTAAACCCATAATTTTGACTTATTTTAGTGACTTCATTCATTTTCATGTAGCACCGTATAGTCAGCATATAAGACAATAATATTACCATTCACCTTCATTCCTATTTCTACATCTTGTAAGTCCTCCTGGAAGGTGATGCAGAATATATATTGAAAAGAAATATCGACAGCATACACCCCTGTCTGACTCCATTGAGAATTTAAATATCCGATGTTGTCATATTTCCGACTTTTATGTGAGCTTCCAATTCAAGCTTATGATAATCTTCATGTCTTTACCAATTACCCCAGTTTATTTGGGCAGATTTATAGTTTTACCCTGCTTCATGACGTCCAATGGTTTCTTATAAACTATAAAATATGCGAAGATATTACTCTACGTCCATGTTAAATTATGTTCAATAGATATATTACAAGTATTATGACATAATTATTATGTGATAATAGCCATTTGGTATATATTGCGAATATTTTTGAGATAAAGATCTACTAATGTTCTTACAATTATTTGCATAGCTTGTTATTGTTCCCATCTTTAAGTGCATTATGATAATATAAAACTTTAAAAATGTGTTGAAATATTTGTTTTTACAGTTTAAAAATTATTATTTAAATGAAAAAAATAAAACTTACATTAAAAACTATCGTACAAACTAAATTGACTAGTACTCCAGACCATGGAGTTTTCCAATTGTTTACAACATGCTGTTCGGATACAGTCAAGTTGTCATCAGTCCAAGTGATGTTGCTGAAGAGGGCAACCACCTGGTCGTGCGTAGTTAGTTCTCCTGCTGCGAACTGGCCCACGCCCAACGGGAAGGACAGACTTGCAACCAATAGGGAAACTATTCCCGGATACAAGAAACGACTGCAAGGTCAAAACTATTTAGATTGATTACCAGAAATTGGGCGTGGTTATTGTAAACTTACTTTTTGCTCAGGAATTTGTTTAAAGTTTTACTGTTACGCATGAAGATTACGTACTGGCGATGCACCCATACGTAGAAAGCTCCACCGAGTCCAGAAAAAGCCCTAAAAGAAGAAAGCCATAAGTTAGACAAGTATAAGACAAGGTAGTTTGAAAGTATCTAATCCCAAAGTCCCAGATCTTCTTCTTCTTTAAGTATCTTGTCCTCCAAGAACATTGACGACCAGTTACATGATTTTTACTTTTTTCGCAGTGGACTTAGATAGTGTCATGATCGTGCTAAACCACTGGCAGACATTTCTGAGCCAGGATGTTTTTCGTTGTCCAGAAGCACGTTTCCCTTAATTTTTCCCTGAATAATTACATTATAATACTTCATATTCAGGATTTTTCATCATGTGGGCAAAGTATTTAACTTTTCTCCTTTTTATGGTGTTCAGAACCTCCCCTTATTCGTTAAGACGCTGTAAAACTGCTTTATTCGTCACTCTGTCTATTCACGATTACTTAATGTTCAGCGGTATGCCCTCATCTTGAAAGCCTTAATTCTCTTACACATTGTTTCAATAAAAATTCATTCATGGTTCCATTCCATATAGCAGAATCCTGTAGACTGCTGTCACCGTTTTTTTTCAGGGAATTCTTAGCGCTATATTGGTTTATATCTTTTCAATCTTCTTAAATGATGTTCTGGCTTGCTCTATACTGCATTTTTTTTGTTTTCCTGAAATAAGCAAATTCCTGCTAACTGCGGCTCCAAAGTAAAAAAAGTATGATAGGGATAGATATACGTTACCATATCTCTGGCTCCTGTGGATAAGCACATAAGTCAACAAATTATCAAATCTGATATATTTATGTACTTGATTCTAAAATGTAATTTCCCTGCCTTTACATTAGCAAATAAGTCAAATATGTTTAAATTAGCAAATTCACCTAAAGTACAATCGTGAGTATCCGAATAAGTCATTCAATATCTTCCAAAATTTAATATAAAGCAACTAATTATATTTCTGTATAATAATATTCTCCCGTTATCGTTCAAAATGTGCTTTAAAATGTTTCAACGTTATTTTGCCATTTTGCGCGATCTCGTGAACATTTTTTCGACGATCCTGGAAAATATATACTATAGTTGACCTATGTGCTTATTAACAGGAGCCAGAGATATATTGTGACCTCTTTAAAAATAATAGTATAAATATCTGCATTTGCGTTAAAATATAAGCTCTTACCCAAGAAGTGCAAACACAAACAATTCTTGAGGGTCAAATGGAAAGTCCATAAAAAAATTTGTTCTAAACACCGCTGTTACTGTTTCTGCTTTCTGAAACCAAACTGCTAAAAGTCGAAATGTTGATGCTCCACAAACAGCAGCGAAGAAACCCCTCCAATAGTTTCTTACAGCAAAATATACTGAGGTTACTTCTATACTAAATAGTACACCTAACAATAAAACATATTTTTATTTGATTGTGTAATTAAAGATCATAGTCATTATAGTAGTTATAATCATAGTCATAATAATTTTTTCAATACTACAATAAGACTAAAGTGAAACATGTTAATAACAGCCACCAAAATTTAAAGAGATTCATTGTTACTACAAAATAAATGTTTTATGTCATTTATTTTTAACACACCATTTCCATTTGTCCAAATCACTATCGTTAGAATTATCTTTTTTATATTTATAGTATAATTCGTTAGGTGTATCATTGAAAACAGAAGCAAATTCCCAGAAATTCATGGCAAATTCTCTGTAGGCTGATGACTGGTCTCTCACTGGAATCGGAAAGAAATTCATCTAAATCCACAATTTCGTTACAGACTGTAGGAAAGAGATGGGTAAGATCAGAAACAGGTCTTAGAAAAATTTTTCGTAACTGTTGCAGGAGATACTTTTTTCCATGGAAGTGTTTCGTATTAAGTTGACTATACAGATTGAACGAAATAAATTCGGAACATAGGAATATAATGTATTTCGGCTCAATTCTGCTGTAGGTGGTTGGCCAACAAAATATTGTCAAATAATTATATTATAAAAATCCAATACTTCAGCGGGCTGCTGGATTCTGAACTCACTTCAATTGATAAAAATTGAAATCTACACATAAATCTCCGATTTATGCTGTCAAACCAGTTATAGTCCAGGAAATGAAGCATTTCAGCTCGCAATTTTTTCGTGCTCCCTGGATTGACTTGATATTTAACAGAAGGTAGGTAATAGCCTAAGGATCAAAATCTATATCGAACCAAAGTGCGCTAAAGCCTAGGGGTGGTTGCCACCCCATCTCCGGGGTGAAATTTTTTTTTACGTTTTAACTACAACAGGTTTCGATTAAAAATGTGATTCTAAACAAAAAATGTGCTATACATTTTTTTTATAAAATGATATTTTTCAAGTTATCCGCGATTGAAAGTAATAACTTTTAGACGAAAAAATCCACGTTTTTAATCGATTTTTCGCGAATAATTCGAAAATGGTGCATTTTATCAAAAAAATTGTAGAGAACAAATTTGTAGCTTTTAAAAAGACAAATACAATTCATTTTTTAAAATGTTTTTGGGATATAATAGGAACCGAAATACGGCCTATCAATGTTCAGCGGTTTTCTTCAAATGCCAAATTTGACAGATTCAAAATCAAATATCTGGAAAATGATGTATTTTTGGAAGAACACTCACAAAACCTTTTTTAAAGAGCATAAATAGACATATCATAAAAAAGACTCTAGCTCAAAAATTGAGTGAGTTATGATGAAAATAAGGTCAATACCTCATTTTTTACGAAAAAATCGAAACAACACCCTAACCTCCTCCATAATTAAAATCAATCTTTACCCTTCTGAAATTCCCTTTGTACATGTATTGTTAATACGTCCAAGAAGTTTGACCCATTTAAAATGCTTTGTGTTAGAAAAAGTACAGCTTAAAGCGAGAAACGATTTACAATTTCATATTTTTTACCCTTCTTTTTTTAAATATGCCCGAAAATACTGAATATATGAAAAAAATACAAATTACCAAATTGTAGCTTTTTTAATGACTAAAATTATCCTTCATTTAGATTTGTTGTACAATGAATATTTGGCGAGATATAGCCGTTTAAAGCATCGATTTACGATCAAGCACCATCTTTTTCGAGCCCTTTAAACTCACCCCATTTAAAAACCAAGGGTTCCAAAAAGATTTAATTCACAGATCCTTGTAGCTCTTAAAAACCTCTACAAATCGTTTTTGAAGAAACACTCTATCGTTAAAAATTAAAAGAAATACGTTAAAAAAACCAGTGAATTTTTTTCCGGAAAATTCTATTAGTATAGTACAGTACATTTCGGAGAATAATAATCTACAAAACCGGTATATTAGCTAGTGGGGCGTTATACATTCGAAATTTTAAGCGTTCTTATTTTGAAATCCCATACAACAGAATAAAACATCTGCTCATATGTCTATGGCTTGGCAATGAAAATATTAGAGCAACAGATTGGGGATGATATTCCAAAGATGGTTTGTACGCATGAACCTGTACGCATGAACAAACAACCTGCACTCGATGAACTTTTGAAAATTATTTTTTGGCAATGCAAAAAAAAATGCGGTGTTTTATGTGGGTGCAGAAAAGTTGGTTTATACTGTAACTCTACTTGTTCTGGGTGCTCATATGAAGGGTGCAATAATAGTCCACCAATAATTGAAGATGAGGATGACATAGATCACGATGAAGATGTAATTGATGACGAATAAAATTAATATTATAATTGTTTTACCTATAAATGTAAATATTTTCTATTTATGTAAATGTATAAGAATATATGGTGCCTTTTTATGTTGATAAATTTTTTTGTATTTAATTCTACTTTTTTCAATTTATATCTTATAAATTAGTTTATAAAAACTGCAATGTTGTAAAGGGTGATTTTCAAAAGTTGAAAAGTGGCAAAATTTTGGCAAAAAATTGTTTTCACCTATAGCACTCATAACAATTGATTTTTAAGGGTTGAAAATGTATGAATTTGTATTTTAAAGTATAAAAGAATCAATATTTAACTAATCCAAACCAAATTTCACTCATATTAAGATTTATAATAATATTTTACAATTTTTGAAAATTAGTGGTAGTTTTCATCCCTAAGAACAATCAGGGTTCATCGGCATGACATAAACTATAAAGCAGAGGGTGAATTGAGCTTAAGTCCAAATTTTTATGCAAATTGTTCCAAGGTGAAATCATTTTCATCGCATTACTAATTTTTTTATATTAATCTCTAATAAGGGTCGCTTTTTAAGGGTTGAAATATGATGGAACTTAAATCCAAATTTTTATCCAAATCGATCCAAGGCAAAATCATTTTTTTAGAATTAGTAATTTTTTACATTAATATCTAACAAGGGTTGCTTTTTAAGGGTTGAAATATGATGGAACTCTATTCAAAAGTATAAAATAATCATTATTTAACTAATTCAAACCAAATCTTACCCATATTCAGGTTTAGTATGTTATTTTATAATTTTTGACAATTAGGGGTAGTTTTCACCCCTAAAACCCTTCAGCGCACTTCGGTTCGATATAGATTTTGATCCTTGGGCTATCACCTACCTTCTGTTAAAATTTCAACTGGATACATGCAGGACGAAAAAATTGCGAGGTTTTAACTTTTTTCGAGCTTAATTTCCTGAACTATTATCGTTTCCTTAGACAAACCCGTCTTACGCAAACAACATTGTTGTGAGACAGATAGTTGAACGATATTTTATACAATGTCTATACCCAGGTATGGATTTATTTTTGTCCAAGTTTTATATTGGTCCACTATTTTAAATACAGTTCAAACAGACATGTATTAAATTGTATGTTCCGTTTTAATTTGGTTCAATCTGTATGTATATTTTTTCGCAAACTTTTAAAACCATTGTCACGTTAATAAACGCTTGAATTCTTTTGATAAAGAACTTTCAGAAATTTGAAATTAAAAAAAATTTTTTGATCTTGGGCATGACAGTGTAAAATGGTACCGGCTCCCCTCTATAGGGTAGAAGTATTGTCTTGGACATTTTCGCTAGTAATAACTGCCTCGACAACTTCCACTGGTACAAGTTAACAAAAAAACGAGATTTCAAGTAATAGAGGTCCAGCAAAGTCCACTCCGGAAGTTTAAAAGACTGTAGCATCTTGAATTATATCGGCTGGCAACGAAAGTATTTGTACTTCGAACGAGATCCTTTCTTGTTTCTTGTGTACACTACATTGATTACATGACAAAAGCTTTTATGTAGGCTTAAAATTAACTTACGCACTATAAAGTGTTCACCCGGAAGTAAGATAGGCAGACAAAAATCTTCGGTGTCATTTTTCAGTAACGCGAGTTTTTAAACGTATAAGTCCAAATTCACCTTCTAGACTACACTCTAACTGATATTTCCGTTCTGTATACAGTTTTTCTACAATATCTGCTCCAAACAAAATCTCAATTGGTGCTGTCTGTCCGGCATCTAAGTTTCTGAGTTACTGACTTTCTTAATCCAAGGACCCCATAAACAGGAGAGACATCTGCACAAATTTTTGGGTGACTTAAGGCAATAAATGAACTAGAGTAAGCTCCTTCACTTGCTGTTATCTTGTAAAATTTTTGTCGTTGTTTAGAAGTGCTTTACCGCCAATAATGCCTTTTAATATTATATGTAAAATATGGTCTGTCCTCTTAGAAGAAAACCCATTTCTTGCTAGGTAAGTTGTAAAATATATATTCTCAGCGATTCAGTGTCAATCTGAATAGAAGAATGTCCTACCTTGCCTATAAGAGTCCAACATAAAAATGCTTCCACTTTCTGAGTTACTGAATTTCTTAATCCAAGGACCTCGTAAACGGGATGAAGCATGTTTACAATGTCTGTAAATTATTTCATTAAGAAAATTATTTTCACGCCGTCTATGCCTACATATCTTCTTTAAAAAAGCCTTACAAATAACCTGACAGCACCGAGCAATTTGTTACGTCCTTTTTTAACAAAGAAATAACTTCGCCAAATGTTTCCTGTTCTCTTTATCGAGCTTTGCTTAAACAGAAATCTTTCCTAGTAACAAAGGAAAAGTCCCTATTGTGAAATCTCCGCTCTTTCTTCTCAGAAAAACAGAAGAGTTGTTTTTCGGAGAAAGATAATTTCTATCGGTAGAGAAAGGGTAAGCTACGAAAATGAACTCCAGTAGCCTGGCTATTTAATATCAATTTTGCGTGGCACCCCTCAGCCAATATCCGCTCTCTGTTTCATCTTTCGCTTGTCTAAGCCCGTCGAAGTTCAGAATCCGAAGTCATTTTCCAGTTAGTTCCTGTGGCAAGCGGTTTATCTTCATCAAACGGCGGTAAGTGGATTTTCAATTCACCCTTATCTATATAAAATATCTTTACACAGTGTGTCCTATTTTAACTATTTTCTCTTTTGTCAAACAGATGTCTTCCAATTCGAAGGAACGAAGTCATTTTTGTTTGCCGTTCTTTCATCTCTATGATTCATTCACCTCTACGATTCATTCATCTCTACCTTCAGTCATCTCTGCCTTCATTCGTCTCTACGTGCTTTTGTATTTTCATTTATCTCGACTACTCATTACTGCCTATGCTGTTCCCGTTTGGCTGTCTCTTTTCGTCGGCCTAAATCAATTTGAGGGATTACGTTTAGAAGACCGTAATTCGTTGCTGGCCTGTCGTCCCGACTACCTGTTGCAAGGACCGAAGTCAAGTGCCTATATTGAGGGCGTAACGTCATCATCTGCATCCACCTGTATTCTACTGTTTTGTGAATATAAGTGTTACTGACTAAAGCTCAACTGTGATACCTAAATCGTTAGAAGTTGATTTATGACTCCAGTTCAGTGTACCTTACTTATTTATAGATGTTTACTTTAACTCCAACCGAACGAACTATTATGAGTATAACTACGGGATAATATATACGTATAATTAACGTACAATTTGTTTTATATGTAGGTTATATTTATGATAAATTTTATTCATAGATTTGAACTGATCATGATCAAAAACTTAGTAACTTCATGTTTACGTATTCTCAAGGAGTAAAATTCACTTATTTGACGAATATTGACGTAGATACAATTATAATGTTCCTTGCCTTTTTCTAGTTCTTGAGGATACTAAATTATTCATAATTATTTTTCAAAAAGATATTTTTTGTTTGTATTTAATAATAAATTGTGAAATAACTGATATCATGCCATTTAACTGTTCAGTAAAAATTGTTGTAGTGCATTTAGTTTAACAACTATACCTCAATATAATTTTGTTGACGAACTATTTGCTTTTTATTTTTTATATAATATGAATTTATATTTTTGTGTTTCTCTTTCAGGCAATTTTTATTGATTTATACTAATATTTGTTTGATCGTATATTTATTGAATATTTGTCGAAATATTAAGTGTATACCGCATAATCCCGATATCTTTTCTCTCACGGTTTACTTCATTCTTGCGTGAGTATTTTAACTGTATCTTACCTTTTCTTGTAAGGTTATTTTTTGTTAAGGTTAAGGTTGTTAAGGTATATAATATTCTATATATTCTTTAATATGTCTTAAGGTTTCCCTGTTCCTCTAAAAATCGGGTGGTGCCCAAATAACTTCTCTTCTCTTATCTCCTAACTTCTCTTCTAATTTCTTGTCTCTGTCTTGTCTGTACTTTTTTAACTGATCCGTGATATTTGAGCTGTAATAAGAACCCCGACCAAGATACCTCTACCAGACTGAAGCTCGAGCCTAGTACCGTTCTTTGTGTAACCCCCAATCAATTATCAAAGAGGGCACAAGGAGAGACATCTGCACAAATTTTTGGGTGACTTAAGACAATAAATGAACAAGAGTAAGCTTCTTCACTTGCTGTTATCTTGTACAATTTTTGTCGTTCCTTTTTATTAGGAGAAAACCCATTTCCTGCTAGGTAAGCTGTAAAATATAATGTTCTAAGCGATCCAGTGTCAATCTTAATTAACCCAGCAGCGGTCGCTAAGGTTACTCAGTTCCTTGCTTAGATAATTTTACGTCTTTCTTGGCAACAAGTCAATTGAATTTATATTTATTTTCAGTCGGTAAACCAAAACTTTAATCTGTAAAAAACTCGTTAGCTTACTCAAACTCATTTCTGAAGTTGTAACTTCTGCAGTTTCTGCAATATTTTCCATGGACACGGAAGCCTAAGGCCTTAAAAACTGTGAAGATTTAGTTCATATTCGAATCATATCTTCTGGCAAACATGACTCAATAAGAGGATATAATATCGCTGCATACTTGTCAGCAGCTATGCCTGGTTTCAAGTGAACGAAGTTGACTGTCAATCATATCATAAATAAATAGCTATACCGATAATAACTGTTTGGAACGTTTAACTTGTCAATTAAAGAATATATCTAAATATTCATTAAATAAATATACATAACTAACAGAAAACAGCACAAATTATGTAAATAAGTAAAGAAAATAACTGATTGACTTACCTCCAACGGGAGCTGCAAAACAACTGGCAACTCCTGCTGCACAGGCAGCTGCCAACATTTCTGTCGTTCGACTCTCATTCTCATATATACCTTGGAATCCGGTAACTAGCTTACTGAGTAATGTTGCTGAGATACTAGCTATATGGACGAAAGGTCCTTCTTTACCTATATCAAAAATTTACATTAATTTACAAATTTCATATTTTTGATTTTTGGTTTCATTAAATGTAAATAAAACTTAACTAAAAAGCTTATTAACTAGACTAAAATTAAATATTTCGGGAAATATATTTTATAACTATTCTTCATTTTGTTATTTTGGTTTGCGATTGGGACTCATTGTGCGATGTAAAAGTACTCAAAAGACTCAAAAAGTAAAAATATTCTATTACCTGTTCGAAACCAAAATTTAGATTCTCACCCAAATCTCTGACTTCACTCAACACAAAGCAAACAGACTATGAATAAAGCGACATGACAAATCTAAAATTGTACTCCATGTCATATCGATTCATCATAATTTTAGATGTCGCTGTATGCGTCTGTAGAAAGTTATTTCATTATTATTTAGACGGAAAGATTTAATTTCACTCTTAGGGCTTCCTACTGAGACGCTCTGATGAGTTACGCAAGGCGAAATACGTATAAGCCAATTTTGGAACCCCTATACGTGAAATCAAATCTAAACTGTCTTTTTTACAGCACATTATGTATATATTTATAAAATCTGAGAGTCATACCTTAATTAAGGATACGCTTATAACCAGGATTAAATAACTTTTTAAAGCTTTTTGTAAAAAATAAATTATTTCATCTTAAATATTTAAAGCGTTCCCAAAAATTCTTAACGCGTGTATTATACATATATATATATATATATATATATATATTATATATATATATATATATATATATATATATATATATATATATATATATATATATATATATATCAATAGAGCTGTTCTTACCTAACGGCATACTACTTCCTAATACGGCAGTTAAACCAACAATTTTGGCAACAAGTGTTCGGAATGTTAGGTATTCCTTTAAAGCTACGCCCCTGAGTATAGTTTTCATTTCTGGTATACCTGAACCTACAAACAATAGTTAAAAAAACATTTTAAATTTTTTGTAAAGTAACACCTAATATGATGGTAAAAATAGTAGAAAACCTCTGAATTTTTTTATATGCATTCATTTGCTTGCATGGGAAGGTGGCAACATGTTGCCAAAAACCGAACAGAATGGCGACGAATCTTAGAGCAGGCCAAGATCCACAGAGGATTGTCGAGCCAAAGATGATGATGATTCATTTGCTTAAAATTTGGAGTATCTAGTTTAAAAAAAAGCTCAATGAAAAATTTGGATTTTATCGGGAAAACTGAGTGGATATAAAATAAAGCTTATAAAACAAAGAGATTCGTTTTTTATTATTACGTAAACTTACTATGGATTACGACTGACAAACTTAGCAGCCGCACTAAATATGACAGTCGCTAGCACCTATTTTGAACACAAGAACATACACAAGATAACCTGGACCTCTCCTGATGGAACAACAACATTGCGTAGTAATCTCAACATTAAGTGCTAGAATTTGAAACACTAGTAAAGAAAATAAAATGGATAGAAAAAACGGAATGTACAAAAGCTGAGAGCTGTGAGAATTGTAAAACAGTATTCGGAAAACATCACCAAGAGGCTAAAGAATCAAAACGTAAATGATGAAGGCCAGACAGATATAGACTCCTACTTTCCCAGAATAAAGAAAGACATTGAAGAAGTAGCGGAAGATAACATGGTAAGAAATTTGTGCCCGTAAAATTAATTGGTGTGACGATGAGTGCAAGAATGCAAAAAAAGAAAAACATGAAGCTTATAGAAATAGGCTTACCATAAACAGAGAAGAAAAGAAAACAGGATACACAAACATATTCGCAATTATAGGTACTAAGCCATAGAAATTAAACTAGATTTTCGAATTTGTATAGTAAAAATATTTCATTTTGATGATCTTTGGAATATAAAATTCTGAAAAGGTAAGTTTATATTAAAAACTATTTAACAAATTATCTATGATATTGTCTTTTTTCTATGTTTGTTTTATGCAACTTACCAATAGCCTGTGGTGCCACAAGTTGTACAAATCCAGCACTAAATAAAACTAATGTAGTGGGAAGAATAACCCAAGCCGCATACTGCGCTGCAGGGTGTGAAGTTAGGTCTTTATACAACCATAGTCTGGCTAAAAATAATAATAAAATTTAAAAATGCGTCCCATAAGATTAATAATGTTAAATATTCGAATGCCATACTTATAATATTAACCTAATCAATAACATACTTTGGTATGAGACACTTTGGTATCTGATACACAAGTATTAATTTAGATTTTTGTTTAACTAAGGAACATTTTTAAATAGTTGACTAAAACCAGTAATTCAATATGCTTTAGTTGAACACTTTATGGAATTCCACTAGGAAACTAAGTTCCTGTAGCTGGCTGTATACCATATATCACAAAAAATTTATTTAAAATCCTTTATAAAAGGTATATAATAAAATGCCCAAACGGGCTATCACAAAGATATTGCAAAACGTTTTCGGATTATTAAATCCATCATCAGTGCAAACGTGGTATACATGCTATGAGCCACCAAAATATATGGGTCCAAATCCTTTAAATGATACAAATTTACATTTGATTTACATTATATGTTGTTACAAATGATGATGTTTGAGTTACCGTTGGAATTGGTAACATGGCGACGTATGACCCTACATAGGTGAAATGGTCCTGAGACGAAGTGTCTTCGAGGACCTGTTGATAACAACTCAGTTGTATTTTATTATGTTTATATAGCAATGATCTATACGGCACTCTGTTAAGGCTTTTAACATCTTTTGATGACTTATTGTGTCGAAAGCTTTTTCGTAGTCAACAAATATCATGACTAATGGCTTGTTATATTCAACACTCTTTTCTATTAAGTTCTTAATTACTTGTAAATGATCATTCGTGCCATATCCTGTTCTAAAACCTGCTTGCTCTCTTGGCTGATAGAAATCCAACTTACTTCCTAGCCTGTTGGTAATAACTCTTGTAAATAGCTTATATACTTGTGACAACAAGCTAATGGGGCGGTAGTTTCTAAGGTCGCTGATATCTCCCTTCTTATGAAGTAAGATGATTTCCGCGTTGTTCCACTGCGTCGGTGTTATCGCTTCGCACAGACATTTATTGAACAGTTTAGCAAGTGTCAGTAAGAGCTTATTTACTCCTAGTTTTAGGCTTTCGGTCATTACCCTGTCTTCACCTGGGGATTTATTGTTCTTCATCACCCGAAGTGCAATTTTAATTTCGTCAACAGTTATGTTCGGCATTAATTCTGATCCTTGATTCTCTATCTTTGGTAAGGGGCGTCTTTCATCGGATTCACTTGTTTCATAGAGTTGTCTGTAGAAGTCTTCCACTGTTTTCACCATTTCTTCTTTATCAGTCACAATGTCGTCTTGTTTATTTCTTAACTTATGTATGTTCTTTTTTCCTGTGGACATGTTGTGTCTTAGAACTTTCAGACTTCTATTTTTCTCTATCACCCTTGTCACCTCTCTCATGTTATGTTGCCGTATGTCTTTTCATAATACTGAAACTATGAAATACCAATACAGTTTATTAAAAAATTCATAGTTGCAAAAGAGTTTGGACTACAAATATTTAATATTATATTGGCACAAAAATCATTTCCAAGAATTTTCACATATTGAAAGTATTTTTTATGTAAGATCAAAAATAAGGAAAGAAATTTTAGATCATTGTAAGTCCATCTATCAATCAAGGTTTTATTTTTTTTTTTGTAATTTATTGAGATTAACTTTAATGTTTGAATCATATGTCAATCGATTGAATTTTGATAATTATGTTAAATAAAAAACATTTATTTATAAATTTCTGTAATATTTTCTCATTTAATAACCTAACTAAACGTATAGAATTGTATTATATTATTTATTGTAATAAATGACTACCGTTGTTAATGTATTTTCATTAATAATATTTGATTTGTTGATCTATTTATGATATGTGCATATGTAATAAAAAATAATATTTATATTCCTTGTGCCTACATGTTTTATTAAACATGTAGGAACAAACTAAATTTTATTAAACAATAATAAATAAATAAACAAATATGCATTCACAAGTAGCATAGATTAGACAATTGGGCTTTTAGGAAGTATGCACATTGAAAGGAAGCTCTAATAATTTTTTTTATTAAGCTGCAAGTATTTTATTACTGAAAGAAACTAAACGATATCATAAATGCAATTTAAAATTGTTTGCATATTTATTTTACGATTATTAGTACATAAACTACGTTGACTATGTTTTTTGACTACAGCTACAATAATCTGAGGTAATTTACAGCTATCCATAAATCAGAAATATAATATAACTTTAGTTTGTTATAATATTGTTTGCGATGCGATTCTAAAATTGTAACTATTTTTCATGGATTATATTTTAACTATTTTTTGGAGTAATATGTAGTATTAGCTTTTGGTTATCTCTATCTTGTTAAATACGATTTACTTAATGTATTATTTTTATTTCTCTGTCACAACTATTCTATTTGGTTATAAATACATTTTAAAAAATGCTGAGATCTGTTTCTCGATAGTGTATGCAATTGTCATAGTTTTCCGTTTTTGACAAAAAGTCAGTTTTTATTATGATTCGAGCTTTTCAATTTTTAATCTGTTTACGGAAAACTAGTTGCTTGGAGCTAAAGTGACAAAACAAGACAACTGCTAAATTATTTCGTTCGATATACCGAATTAAAGACACCTTAAAGACTGTTCAAGAAACAAAATTGAGTGCGCTAAAAGCAAGAAAAAAACAAGGGTGGATGACAGAAGAAATACTGAGACTTATGGATTAAAGAAGAGAAGTCAGAAATAAAGATAAAAACGAATGCGAAGACAAGACACGCGAAAACACAATTTCATAGTAAAGAATGTAATGAAATTGAACAATATGAAAAGAAACATGATACATTTTATCTGTACAAGAAATTAAAAGAGGTCGCTGAAAACAAACGGAAACAAGTATCCCAAAGTTTAGATGACAGAAACGGACACAGAATATTAGATATCAATGAAAAGTTAAAAGAATGGGAAAACTACAATTATGAATCATTTGAAGATGAGAGAGTAGAATAATATACACCGTTTGCTATATCAGGTCCATCTATAACAGAAAGTGAGGTAAGACGTTCAATACCAACGGCAAAAAATGGAAAAGCACTTGGCCCTGATGAACTAAGTGCTGAAATACTAAAGTTTTTGGGAGAAAATGGAATTAAAGCTCTGTGTAATCTCTTTAACAGAATTTATGACACTGGGATATTACCAACTGATTGGTTAAAGTCGACATTTGTCACAATACCTAAGAAACATCGTCCAAAGACATGCGGTGATTATCGGACAATAAGTCTGATGAGTCACGTTTTGAAGATCTTCCTGCGAGTAATACACAGCAGAATTTACACGCTGTTAGAGGACAGAATTAGCAATACTCAATTTGGGTTTAGGAGTGGCTTGGGTACAAGAGAAGCCTTGTTTAGTATATTGGTGGTAGTACAGAGATGCAGAGATATCAATCAAAATGTGTACATTTGTGCAATCGATTTTGAAAAAGCTTTTGACAAAGTCCGACATAACAAAATGCTAGAAATATTGGAAACAGCTGGATTGGACGACAAAGATCTACAAATAATTACAAATCTATACTGGCATCAAGTGGCAAGAATAAAAGTTGAACAAGAACTGTCGGATGAAATAAATATAAAAAGAGGAGTGAGAGAAGGCTGTATATTGTCGCCTTTACTTTTTAACTTATATTCGGAGGAAATATTTAAGGAAGCCTTAATGGAGACAACCGAAGGTATTATTGTGAATGGAGTAACCGTCAACAATATTAGATATGCCGACGATAACTTAGTCCTTGCCAATTGCAGAGAAGACCTTCAAAATCTAATGAACAAAATAAAACGGAGATGCCACACTGGACAGAGTAGAGAAACTCGTGTATCTCGGCAGTAATATCAATGAGAGCTGGGATCCTTCTTTTTCTTCCTATGCCGTCCCCATTAACGGAGGTTGGCGACCACATTTTTAAAAGCTTCTCTGTATTTTGCAACGTGGAATAATTCGTCTACAGTCATGTTTGTCCAGTCTCGAATATTTCGCAGCCATGACTTCCTCTTTCTACCTATTCCCTTTTTGCCCGATGGCAAAAAGCAGAAGACTATATTTATTATTTCTTAGTATGTGTCCAAGGTATGCAGTCTTGCATACTTTTATCGTTCTCAACAATTTTTTGACTCGACCCATTCTTCTCAGCACTTCTTCATTGGTGACCCTGTCAGTCCATGGGATTGGGAGCTGGGATCCAACCGCAGAAATTAAAAGCCGAATAGAACAAGCCCGAGCTGCCTTTGTAAAAATGAGAAACGTACTTTGCAGTCACGATCTTAGCATTGACCTTAGAGTTCAAGAAGACACGAAAACGACAAAAAAGATGTTATAGTGGAAGCCGGCAGGAGGCGGAAAAAAGGAAGGGCCAGGACAAGATGGTTGGATGACATGGAAGAAGACCTAACAACCATGAATATAAGACAATGGAGGAGAAGCGTCCAAGAGAGATCTAGATGGAAGGACAAAGCCAAACAGGCAAAGACCCATCCAGGGTTATGAAGCCAAAAGACGAAGAACGGTCGATACTTGATCAAAGTCACAGCCATCTATAGGTTTGGGTACTGCGCGTGCGATCATGTTTTGGTAATTTGTAAGAAATTTTTATGCTTTTTTTAATATTTGAATAAGTTTAAAGTGTATCATTAAAATATTATTGTTGTTATGTTAGGAAGCCATTGCCATTTTTAATTTGTATCTTGTAGTAAAATGGATCCGCGTCAAGAACCAAGGGATCATTTGGTAGTTCGAGATGAAGTAAAATTCTCTAGAAATAAAACAAGAATCTTATAAATGTGCCTCTCATCCTTAGAGGAAGAACCGAAAAGCTGAGACAGAGTACTGAAAGCCAAATTATTGTGGAAACCCGATTTGTAAGGACCTCACACAATTCCTGTTAAAAAATAGAGGAGGAAGAAGCTATGTATATGAATTTATTATCTTCACATACATACATACCCTTTAAAACTTTTTGTTTGTGTATTTATTATCTTTTTTGTTTATTATCTAATTATGTTTAATTTACCTATCCGTTATTTCTAAACTTTTGATTTACAATATTTTATCACTTTGTTTTGTTCAATTAATAAAACCATTTTGGTTTATATGACTTTCTATTATATGTAAGCTTTGTAATTTTATACATGCTGACATTCATTCTTCCTCAAAATAAGTGGAATTGATGAGGGTAAGAGTGATGCTCATACGTGTGCAACTACGTTACAAGAGAAGCGCAGTTAACGGCGGGTTTCCACTTGACTAATGCTGACAGTTTAGTTACATGATTTGGTATTGAAGATATTTGTAAATCATTTTTTGATATATTTGCCTCAAACTCTTACGCAATTCGTTTGTTCGCTTTTTAGCATCTGTACTTCTAGCTCTGTCCCATAGTTTCTTACCATCAATTTTTCTAAGTGTTTTCATCTCTGCTGTTTCTAACATCCTTTTTGTCCTGTTTGTGTCAGGTCTTTTTTCTGCCGCGTAGGTCATTATAATACAAGGAAAAGTGGAAGGAAAGAGATGGATTGGTCGAAAGAAACTTTCATGGCTGCGTAATATTAGACAATGGTGTGGTTCCACAGTAGAAGAATTATTTCGCGCAGCAGCCAACAGAGAAAGGTTTCAGGAAATTGTAAACATGATGACGGCCAACGTCTGAATACGGACACGGCACCCAAAGAAGAAGAAGAAGGTCATTATTGGTCTGTTTTGTAAATTCTGCCTTTCGTTTCTTTCCTGATATTTTTATTTCTCCATATTGTTTCATTTAGGCAGCCTGCGGCTCTGTTTGCTCTATTTACTTGATATTCCACTTCGGTTTCGAGCTTTCCGTAGCTAGATAATGTGATGCCTAGATATTTAAACTCCATCACTTCTTCTACTCCATCCATTCACTCCATCACTATTATATGACCTTCCAGCTCCAATTTACATCTTGGTAAATTTGCTGTTGTAACCATGCATTTTGTCTTTTTTGAGGAAATTAACATGTTAAATCTGGCGGCATATTAAATTGGTGCAGCATGCGTTTTAAATCATCTTCACTTTGAGAGAGTAATATTGCGTCGCCTGCATAGCAGATTATTTTAAGTTGTTTTTCTCCCTTTGACATCCTTTTTCATTTCTTACTTTTTTTATTATTTCAACTATAATCAGGTTGTATATTTCAAAGGTATGAACTGTCCTTGTAGACCTTTTCATTAATTCAGATATGTGAAATATTTTACATAAATATAATTTTTACATATTTTTTTTGAAAAGGAGTTCCGGATTGGAAATCGAAAGGACAAAACAAACGTAAAATGTAATTATCATTACAATCAATTTCTTTTTTTTATGTAGCTATAGTTTGTTGCCCTTACTTGACCTTTGATGAACAATCGAAATGTAAATTGTGTTAATTGTAACTAGGATTATTAAATGCGCTTAGAAATTGATTAATTCAAAACAAACTACTGAATTTAATTAAATAAACGGTAATATTTTAAAACAACTTTTTATGATATATCGACTAATAATTTGAATTTGTTTATTCTCTTATGACATTTTAGTATGATAGTTTATACTGTTTATTTACTTTGATACTAGGAAAGAAGTTTCCGGAATTAGAGGATTTCCTACTCACGACTCCAACCAAAAATTGTCTGAAATATATCGAAAAAAATCATCAGGTGCGAAACGACAAATACCAACTGAGAATGAGCAAGAGTTTCCATCTAGAGCCTATCCAGATACATCGTCTCAGGGTCAGCAGCAACCCCCATTGGGAGTCTTACGTTTTCATGCATGGTATCTGTTAAGAACTGTAACATCATACCATCTATTTATCAAAAATGTCAACCTATATACGTATGGTCAAAAGGTTTTTTAATTACATACCTTTTATAAAGGATTTTTGAACACAACTTTTGTGATTTATGGTCTACAGCCAACTACAGGAATTTCATTTTTTTCGTCGACATTTGTCATCGAGTCATTCTACAAAAAGTATTTTTCTGTTTATATCAAATCGAAAATCATACGATACACGAGCTTCTTTACCAAGAGTGCTTGTATCTTTGCTATTATTAAAAAATATCCAGTGGCTTATAGGTTTAGAAATGCAATATAACATGTCAAGTACTACTCTTGATGTTAAAGTCAAATATTCGCCATCATTTTTAGCGATTTTAGCCAGTACGAAAGTCAAAATTGTAACAGTACTACCCACAAAAGCAACGTACAATAAATAATAAAAAAGGGTAGGTATAAAACTTTTGTTATTAAATGTGTAAACTAAACGTAAAATCTAAACGAAGTAAGCAAATTTGTCCGATGTTTATAATTATATTTTTTTATTGAAAGGATATTAGAAATATAATAGAACATAAATTATAATTCAATTAACTACAGCCTAAAATATCTTTTATTGTAAATTTGTCTTTAAACTTTAAACAAATTTTAAGGGTTCAAACAAAAAATTTTTTAGTGATCTATAAGTACGACTATGGCCTATAATTAATTTATTTCCACTTTTAGACCTAATGTCGTTAATAATTACCTCCGATCTAAAAGTCAATTTTTAGTTTTCTATTTACATTGTATTATTTCAACAAAAACTGAAAATAAATAATAAATTTAATTGGTAGCAAAAGTCAAGTAACAAAATACAAAGTAATTTGGATTTTTAATGATGGTATTTGTATACACAACGAAAAATCGAAAAGTAAATTGAATTCATGGTGATATAAGGCAATTAGTAGGATTTAATTACGAATGCAGTTGTAACTGTAAATATAGCGAACAACTAATCTGTGGTTTATCGCATGGGATGGTTTAGACCTGATTTAAACGAAACGAAAAAACGAAAGAAAAAATTAATTTGATTTATCTATTTGCCTTATTTGAATTTGTTTTTCGGCAACTAGTATCTTCCTAGATCCGGTAATTCTTATCTTCGTAGATGTCCTATATTTTCTTTTATAATCACTACGCATAAAATATTGCGAATGTTTTCATAAGTCGCAAAAATAACAATAATTGCAAACTGTTTTGATTTAAACTATTAAACTATGTTATGAAATTCTCTTACCCACCTATATCAGGAACACGAAACTGCAACCTACAATTTTGCATGGTCTTAACGCCTTATAAACCACTCAATAATTCATTTTCGCTACTATCACAAAGTCCAGCACATATCCCTATTTTTATATAACTAATCCATTATACGCCCTTTTATTAACTCATGATCATCAAGCCTTCCATTCCTGATGGAATATTTGCCGCTCTTACTCTATCTGCCGCCTTGTTAGAGTTTGTTGTATGACTTGGCTTTCGTTACAATTTTTTTCCACTCATTTGTTAACTATGTCATTAAAATTTTTTTTTGCACCAACGTATTGAAAAAGAAAAATCTTTCATAATTTCTAAACGTAGACCTATATTACTATGTCAAAAGTATTGAAAATAGATGGTTCATTAATTGAAGCAATAAATAAAGAAGTAAAATATTTATGACTGAAAATAAGAAAAACTATTAGCATAACTCATAAATTGTTATCAGTTTGTAAGAGAATTACACTAACCATTTGTTGAAATATGATAATTGGCATGTAGTGGGGATAGAATCTAGCACAGTGGTGTCGCAATATAAAAGCGAGTAATACAACTGCATCACCGAGGAGAAGTGACATCTTCGAGGCTAGACTGTAGATGTGATTATCTCAAGTTCTTATTAACTACTGCCCGGTTCTCTCGGTATGGACAAACCCGATTATGTAGGAGTTGCGGGGATATTACTATTTAAATGGGAATAAGCCACAATTAAAGGTTAAAATACGTTTATTGACGTTTTAATGTCCACTTCGGAAATCGTTCTCAAAATACAAACATTAGTAAATTTAAAGTGCCACAAGAAAATAGTTGCAGGGATATTTTCTGAACGTGTGTAGGCTACACAACTTTTGTTACAACATTACGTATACATTCCCATTTTAAGAATCGCAATAATTTAGATAAGGTTCCAAGAGATTTGATCTTTTAAAAGGACATGTACTTTCGGGGTTTAAATTAATAGTTTCGCAAAAAACGTGTGGTGATTTAGACAAGTGGCATTCTTCAAATTTAAGAAACAAATGAGTTAGCTAGTTTTTCAGAAAGGAATTTAAAAAGCTTTTAAATAAGTTTATATAAATTATATTTATTTAAAAAATACTAAACACTTTTCCAAACACTATACATATTATGTATTATGCATCTTTACTTACCGCTATTACACATTGCTACACCTCTATCCATTATGAAACTCAAGAAAGCCATAATAACACCTAGAAGGGCCAAGAACACCCAGTCTTCTCCCAATCTCGCGAATGTGTGCCTCCATAAGAATGCAATAAATTTGACTAGTTTTCCTATAAAAAAATAATAAAATCAAAACTATTATACTGATTATAATTTCAATTTCAACATAAACTTTTATCGATTCTTTATATATTAAACAAATCGTGTCCACTCTATAGTGTTTTCTTTAAGAGTTTACCTTTGTGTCTTCGGAATTGTATTCGATCTACCCCTATTACTACTAGTACCCATATGGAGGCAATATGTAATAATGAAATTAGTCATTTTTGTGAATGGTAGACAAATCTCGCCACCATTAAAGAAGTCAACCTGAAGCTAACGTCCAAATAAAAGATAAGATATACCAAAAATAAACAGTTAGAAAAGTGTGACAATTAGTATAATTGTTTACCTAGTCATAATTTTTATTTAAGGTTGTTATGAAAGTATATGCCAATACGTTATCTTGCAAGCAAACCCAGGAATAGTAGTAAACGAAATAGTAGTAATACATGAGGTTTATTACGAGGATTACTGTCAAGCACAGCAGAATGACAATTACCGGCAAATACGAACATTACCTTCAATAATTGTTATGACATAAAAAATAATTTTAGGAAAACAAAACAAATTGTCTTTGGCCGTTAGCTTCAATACAACTAGCACATATTTTATAAATCGAGCTCCAGTAAAAAAATAAACTATAGATATTTGGGAACGATAATTAAACGAAACATGGGACCACTCCCATACAATGAGAGTAAAAAAATACCAATGAAAAAGCAATAAAATAAAAATTCTATTAGATCACGTAGAGGACCAAATAGAATAACATAAAGAAAGTTTTGAAATGTGGTGTTACCATCAGTTATAAAAGTAAAGATGGATCGACAATGTTACAAATATGAAAATGAATCTACTATAAAAGCAGAAAGCTCAAGTATTTAAGATTTCTTATGAGAGAGAGGGAGAGGAAGAGAGTGTGAGAGAGAGAGAGAGAGAAAGAGAGAGATAGATGCCTTATGAAGAAAGAATGTTCGGTTCATAGAAGAGAAATTTTAGAAAACAGTTTCACTGTATAACAATTGAGCTCCTGAAAAGTCATATCTTGAAGATTTAGAATCTCTGATGGGAGTGGCAGAATAAGAAGAAAACATTACACTCGCATAAAATTGCAATGCCATAAATTTGAATTCCACAGGTTTTAAAATTTTTATAATAAAATGTCGAAAAAAAAAATGTACATTGTAAAATTGCATCAAAATAGATAACATTGACTTTGTAGTATTAGTTATAAAACGAAAATTACTTCATCACCTTTTATAGAAAATTGATATCATTTATATAAAAATAGTATCGCACTAGATACGAATATAAATAAAATACGAATTAATAAGAAATAAGACTACAGTCATTAATATTGAGAAACTTATAAAAAGTAACAAATTAAAACGTACCTTGATATCCCCTAAGCTCTCGTTTTCTTGCTTTTTCTTCTTTTATTCGTCGCTTCTCTTGTGCTTTTAGTGCCTCAAATTTTGCATATTCTCCTAGTTGCCGGCTATACCGGCCATACATCTATAACGAAGAAACCAAAATTAGATTATACAAAAATGCAACATAACAGGTATATAATAATTCCAGAACCCAAAAAAGATAACCAAATATAGCACAAATATTCTTCTTCGTCTTAACAAAACATTTAGGTGGAATTAGAAATACTTTATACTACGTACTACTCGTCAAACATAGCTTGCGACCTAATATTCTGATATAGGAGTAATGAGCAATGGACAGCAACAAAATTCATCATTATTTATCATCAATTATCATTTAGTTCAGAATATCTGGATTACAAAATAATAGAACAACAACGCTGTTATCTAGCGCAGCTGATAAAAAGTACTAGGCAGAATCGATCTGGGAAGACGAAAAATTTAATGGTTATATTATAATGATTTTATTAGTCCTTCTTTATTGTCTTTATTCTAATTTATTGTCTTTATTCTAATTTATTAAAACTCACGATAATTTATCAAAAGTCTTTATTTTATACTAATTTATTTTACACTTAATAATTACAAATAATTTATTTGCGTTCGATACAATTTTAACCCGATATCCGCGATCTTCTTTTTGACTAACTCTCCTCAATGTGAATCGCCGTTATTTATTTGAAACGCCGTTATCTGGAAGGATCTGGCATGAAGTAGACGGAAGTTGACTTGAATAGTCTCGAACTGGTTTTTTATAGCGGCCTGTTTCCAGAAAGATCGAGTAGTAGTTGACCGCTTTCATATCGAAGGGGGACCCATAGTGTCAGGTAGGTTTTTTACCTGCGTCTCGGCCGGTGCGTGATCTAGAAAATACTTGATTAGTCATAATGTATTTACAGTTTTATACGCAATAATATTTAAAATCGTAACAATATAATCTCAGAATGTAATTTTTTACTGTCTAAGTACTACTGAACTATTTAGAGCAACAGCAAACGTTAACAACATCACACGAATTTTAACAAACAAGAGGGTGGGGATCATTGAGCCAAATCCAATTCTTTTGGATATGGCGGAGGATTTTAAAATTGTTGGAGGTATCATACGAATGCCTCCCGTATGTTTGCTTGCATGTATTATGCCTGACGCTAGTTATTTTAATGTCTTGTGCACAAGAAGTGAACAAGGCGGAGGAGAGAGAAATAATTATTCTCTAAGAATTGAAAATTTTTTTCAATGAATGTTTTCACAGAGGAGAAGTACCAGATGATTAAAAGGAAAGTTTGACAATATTCCTCTTCAAAAAAGGAGACAGGCAGATCTGAAGAACAACTATAGGTCAATGTCCCTGCTGTTTTAAAGGTACAAACTGTTTATGCGAGTAAAGGTACAACTAACAAGTTGAAGTCGAAGCTCGATAGCTATCAACCGGTAGAGCAGGCAGGATTCCGAAAGGGTTACAGTACAGCGGATCATCTTCTTACAGAACGTTACAACGCTAATAGAACGTCGGAACGCTAATAGAAAAAGCCAATGAATATCACTTGATACCTTGGCTTCATTGATTATGAAAAGGCATTCGACTCCATAGAACTTTGGGCAATAGAGGGAGCTATGAAAATCTGCAGGATAGACTCCCGATGCAGAATAATCATACATAATACTTACAAGAAAGCTACAATGAGAATACAAATAGATGCAGGAGATAGATAGAGAGATGTTATCTCACCAAATCTATTCACATTTGGACAGAATGACGTGTTTAAAGACATTAACTGTGCAGGTAAAGGAATAAATGTTAATGAAAGAAAACTGAGCCATTTGAGCTACGCTAATGATATTGTAATATTCGCTACGCTATGTTTCAAAGAACTACAGATCATGATGACGCAATTATTTTAAGCTTCGAAAAAAGTAAGTCTTAAGGTGAACTTGGAAAAAACAAAAATATTGACAAATACACCGAACATTAGAGAAATTACGTTGAACGACATACATTTAGAAACAGTAAGCGAATACACCTACAGTCCTTGCTCAATTTATTAGACTCACCATAAAAATTTCAGTTTTTTAAATTTTAATCGTATTGAAAGTATGTTCACTTGGATACTGAGGTGCTGCATGGGTTAACGGAAATGACATAACTATTGGGAGCATAGTTAAGTAAAAAATGGTATACTTTTTCTTAAAATTATCAAAAATTTACGGATGACAGTAGAATGTGCTCAAAGTGTGGAGCAACTAATTATTTTACATTTTGATTTTTTTTACTTAAAATATATATTTGTGATCAGTTTATTTAAAATTTGCACCAGTAAGTATTGTCATTATTACATAATAGTGTTACTATTATTAATATTTCATTATTACGTAATATTGGTTAATTCTTAGTTATAATACAAAACGATTAATCTAGGATTGGAATTTTTCAGATGAGTAAATCTAAAGATCTTTGTGTTGAGCAAATATCTTCCATTACTGCTCCTTCAAAATACATCACTTAGTCAGAGAGAGATAGCAGGAAAATATGGTGTATCCCAGTCGTCAGTGAGAAGATTAAGTCAAAAACTCAAACAGAAGCGACCTGTGACGTCAGTTCGGAAGGGCCGATGTGACAAAAAACCTTCAGTCACCCCAGAGCGCAACGAATTTCAAAAAATTTAGCTGTAACACACAGAAGATCCACCTACAGAGATTTAAGAAATAAGTTGGAGGGGTGCTCAGTATCGGTGGCCACTGTACGCCGAAATTTGTATAGCATGGGCTTCAAATGTCGCAGGCCTGTTAAGAAGCCAAAACTAACACTACAAATGCTCAAAAAACGCTTAGCTTGGGCCAATATCCATAAAGACTGGTCTATTGATGATTGGCGTAAGGTGAATTATTACAAATAATTTTATTTTCGTTCTTTATAATTTTATTCACATTTCCAGGTTTGCTTCAGCGATGAAGCCACGTTTCAAATAATGGATGACAAGGCCCAGTTTGTCCGAAGACGTCCAGGGGAAAAATATGAAAAGGGGTGTGTAATTAATACAATTAAACATCCCACCTCAGTAATGATATGGTCGGTGATTAGTGGCAAAGGTATGGGACGTTTGTATGTCGTAGTAGGAACCATGCGACAAGAGCAATATAAAAGGGATTTGCAGACAAGATTGGTTCCACAAGTGAACGAATGGTTTGGTATAACAGCCATAAGATATTTATGCAGGATGGAGCACCTTGCCATACGGCTAAGAGTATTAAAAAAATTTTGTTAGAATAAGAAATTTCGCTCTTACCATGGCCCGGCAACTCACCAGACATGAACCCCATTGAAAATGTCTGGGAGTGCCTAAAAAGAGAATTAGCCAAAGAAATAATTACCAACAAGATTTAGTTGATAGAAAGAATTATTTTCTTTTGGAATCATACCAAAAATTTAAAAGAAATCGCAGAAAAATGCATAAACAGCATGCCTAGGAGAGTAGCTGCACTTATTAATGCCAAGGGTGGCTTAACAAAATAATAATGTTATAGTACAATATTGTAGTAATTTACTTTATTTTTATTCAATAAATATGCAAAAAGGTTAGCAATATCATTTGTGTTATGTTTTTTACTTATAGCTAACATAGTTATAATTATAATTGATTCTAAAACACAGAAAACTTGAATTTTCTAAGTGAGTCTAATAAATTGAGCAGGGACTGTATCTGGGACAGATAATGAAAGTTAACAAAGAAAATCAAACTTCCGAAATTACCAGAGGAATAAGGTTGGCGTGGGCAGAATTTGAAAAACTGGGTTGGATCTTAAAAAGCATTAAAAAGTAACAATATTTGAAAACCAGAATTTACAATTAGTGTATCCTCCTTATACTCACGTATTGTTCACAGACGTGGACACTCTAAGTCTAATATGGATCAAATAATAAAGGCACAAAGAGAGATGGAAAGATCAATGCTTGATGTGAGACTTATAGACAAAAACACTAACAAATGGATTAGAAGCAAAAGCAAAGTAAACGACACAGGAGAACATGCTGTCAAATTAAAATGGAGCTTGGCAGGGCACAATGCCTGATTGAAGGATAAAAGATAAAACTACGAAATACAACAATAGAGACCATGGTTAGGAAAAAGAAGCAAAGGAAAACCACAAATGAGATGGGCTGATGACATTAAGAAGATCGGAGTGCACAACTGGAAGTAAGTGGTGCAAAATAGAAAACAATGGATTGATTTTGGGGGAGGTCTATGTCCAAAGTTGGATAACTTAAGGCTAAAGAAGAAGAAGAAGTACCCAAGAAGTATCCAGATAGAGTTTCTTTTCACCCTTTAGCAAAGTTTGGTAAATTGTAATCTCTGTTACTTTTTTCTGAAGAATAATACCTTTTCCCCACTTCCTGCCAAGGTGTATTTCTAGATATTTTTTCAGATTTAAGTTCCTGACCATAAAGTGTAACTGTGGGTGTCTCTTTACTTGCTTCGCTGGTTAAAGGTAATGAACTGTGTCTTTTCTGAGTTGACTTTTTTTTCCTTTTTGCTATGTTTAGAGAGGTGTTAGGTAATTCTCAGTTTGCCTTTGGTTATAGTCTACCGGGTTTATAAATAGAAAACTATGACAAACGATATTAAAGATACGGGATGACAAAAAACTGCCTTGTAGAATATTTTTTGTGACAGTTCAATCATTTTTTGTAGATTATTTGGAAATTATTGTATTATTAAAAACCGATTTTAACTTCATAACATGTAATAAATTTCGATTAGTAAACAGGAAATCGTATGTAAACAGATATTAAGTGTTTATGTAATCATAATATTTTTAATCAAATATTAACCTCTATGGATTTATCCGTATAATAAATGCATTTCCCGAAACCTTTGTATAATCTTGACTTCTAAGTGCGATAATCTCTAATCGGCCATAGACCATAAAATATCAACAGCCGTCCGCGTGACCAATAAAAAAATAAAATTAGTCGCTCTAGAAACAAAAGCGATGCGAATGAGTGGGACTGTCTAGCATTTAAATGTGTTTGTAAATATTGGTTTTGGCAATCTGTTCTGCGATTACTGGATAGGTAGATAATTG